TCTCCGGTTCGTTGCTGTTGATATAAGAATGAAAATTCAATGAGAATCGAACTCCTTTAAGTAGGTTATCTAGCACTTGCCCATTTATATCCAACTCCTGGGTGGACTGGGCATTGCGCAGTTTTCCGGGTCCATAGAAGTGCTCCATCTCAAGAGTCCTCATCGTCAACCTCGTCCGCATCGGCCTCGTCTGTGCTGAGCTAGCTGGAAACAAAAAAAAACGTAAGATCAGAGGATTCTTGAAAGCCTTGACGTGTACTCACAACTTGTTCAGCGAAGCCTTCAGTGTATTCTGCCTATTACTCTTGTGCAGGCGCTTCAGCTCCGCCTCGCGCGACTTGAGGCCCTGCAGCTCCTGCTGGATCTTCTGCTCGACGCAATGGCCTGCCCTCTGCTGGTGATAGGGTGACTGTGGTACTGCCCGATGGCGAGTTGCCGTTCTCCAGGAAGGCCAACGCCGTGCGTGTGATCAGCTTGAGGGTGTTGCTGTTGGTGTTGTTGTTGCTGCTGACTTCCATTTTGATTGCTCCCTGAGCTGCTGATGTTGCCCAAGGGCACCACCGAAGGCAAACTGACGCTTCTGGTGCAGGTCGCTGCTCCTGGCGGGTGACCACGGTCAGCATAAGCGGCGGCTGCTGCACTGCCGCCGGCCGGGCTGTGACCAGCACCCCCTAGTCTTGATCCAGCTCATCCTGATCCTGTGGCTGCTCCTGAGTGCATTCACCATAACCCAAAACGTAGAATGTCAAAGCTGCAAATGGTTCCATGCCAGCAATCGATAGTTAAAGCTGCGTATCGTTGTATGTCAGCAATCGATAGTCAATGCTGTACATCGTCACTGATCGTCGCTGTTGCACATGGCTGCAGGCAACCAGCTGAAAGTCAAAGCAGTCACACTTCCTTGTATAAGTAGGGAAACATGGGTTGACCACACTGCAAAAAGCCGGTGATAATGCATATGGTCTCACCTTTTTTAAAAGTAGTAATGGCCGCCTTAACCGTTCCATTCGCGGCATTCTTCTTGATCAGGCTTTCCCACTGGGCAATGAGGTCCCGCAATGAGGGCGCCTCCTTGGGCGTCAGATCAGAGCTGGGCCAGCGACATGGCCGGACGCATCCCATTATGCTGCCTCCATTGGCTATGTACGCGGCTGCATTCAGGCTGCAATTGACAGCGGGCTTGTGTACGATCTCCGGTTCGTTGCTGTTGATATAAGAATGAAAATTCAATGAGAATCGAACTCCTTTAAGTAGGTTATCTAGCACTTGCCCATTTATATCCAACTCCTGGGTGGACTGGGCATTGCGCAGTTTTCCGGGTCCATAGAAGTGCTCCACCTCAGAGTCCTCATCGTCAACCTCGTCCGCACCGGCCTCGTCTGTGCTGAGCTGGCTGGAAACAAAAATAAAAACGTAAGATCAGAGGATTCTTGAAAGCCTTGACGTGTACTCACAACTTGTTCAGCGAAGCCTTCAGTGTATTCTGCCTGTTACTCTTGTGCAGGCGCTTCAGCTCCGCCTCGCGCGATAGGGTGACTGTGGTACTGCCCGATGGCGAGTTGCCGTTCTCCAGGAAGGCCAACGCCGTGCGTGTGATCAGCTTGAGGGTGTTGCTGTTGGTGTTGTTGTTGCTGCTGACTTCCATTTTGATTGCTCCCTGAGCTGCTGATGTTGCCGAAGGGCACCACCGAAGGCAAACTGACGCTTCTGGTGCAGGTCGCTGCTCCTGGCGGGTGACCACGGTCAGCATAAGCGGCGGCTGCTGCACTGCCGCCGGCCGGGCTGTGACCAGCACCCTCTAGTCTTGATCCAGCTCATTCTGATCCTGTGGCTGCTCCTGAGTGCATTCACCATAACCCAAAACGTAGGATGTCAAAGCTGCAAATGGTTCCATGCCAGCAATCGATAGTTAAAGCTGCGTATCGTTGTATGTCAGCAATCGATAGTCAATGCTGTACATCGTTACTGATCGTCGCTGTTGCACATGGCTGCAGGCAACCAGCTGAAAGTCAAAGCAGTCACACTTCCTTGTATAAGTAGGGAAACATGGGTTGACCACACTGCAAAAAGCCGGTGATAATGGATATGGTCTCACCTTTTTTAAAAGTAGTAATGGCCGCCTTAACCGTTCCATTCGCGGCATTCTTCTTGATCAGGCTTTCCCACTGGGCAATGAGGTCCCGCAATGAGGGCGCCTCCTTGGGCGTCAGATCAGAGCTGGGCCAGCGACATGGCCGGACGCATCCCATTATGCTGCCTCCATTGGCTATGTACGCGGCTGCATTCAGGCTGCAATTGACAGCGGGCTTGTGTACGATCTCCGGTTCGTTGCTGTTGATATAAGAATGAAAATTCAATGAGAATCGAACTCCTTTAAGTAGGTTATCTAGCACTTGCCCATTTATATCCAACTCCTGGGTGGACTGGGCATTGCGCAGTTTTCCGGGTCCATAGGAGTGCTCCATCTCAAGAGTCCTCATCGTCAACCTCGTCCGCATCGGCCTCGTCTGTGCTGAGCTAGCTGGAAACAAAAAAAAAACGTAAGATCAGAGGATTCTTGAAAGCCTTGACGTGTACTCACAACTTGTTCAGCGAAGCCTTCAGTGTATTCTGCCTGTTACTCTTGTGCAGGCGCTTCAGCTCCGCCTCGCGCGACTTGAGGCCCTGCAGCTCCTGCTGGATCTTCTGCTCGACGCAATGGCCTGCCCTCTGCTGGTGATAGGGTGACTGTGGTACTGCCCGATGGCGAGTTGCCGTTCTCCAGGAAGGCCAACGCCGTGCGTGTGATCAGCTTGAGGGTGTTGCTGTTGGTGTTGTTGTTGCTGCTGACTTCCATTTTGATTGCTCCCTGAGCTGCTGATGTTGCCCAAGGGCACCACCGAAGGCAAACTGACGCTTCTGGTGCAGGTCGCTGCTCCTGGCGGGTGACCACGGTCAGCATAAGCGGCGGCTGCTGCACTGCCGCCGGCCGGGCTGTGACCAGCACCCCCTAGTCTTGATCCAGCTCATCCTGATCCTGTGGCTGCTCCTGAGTGCATTCACCATAACCCAAAACGTAGAATGTCAAAGCTGCAAATGGTTCCATGCCAGCAATCGATAGTTAAAGCTGCGTATCGTTGTATGTCAGCAATCGATAGTCAATGCTGTACATCGTCACTGATCGTCGCTGTTGCACAAGGCTGCAGGCAATCAGCTGAAAGTCAAAGCGGTCACACTTCCTTGTATAAGTAGGGAAACATGAGTTGACCACACTGCAAAAAACCGGTGATAATGGATATGGTCTCACCTTTTTTAAAAGTAGTAATGGCCGCCTTAACCGTTCCATTCGCGGCATTCTTCTTGATCAGGCTTTCCCACTGGGCAATGAGGTCCCGCAATGAGGGCGCCTCCTTGGGCATCAGATCACAGAGCTGGGCCAGCGACATGGGCGGACGCATCCCATTAATGCTGCCATTGCTGGCCCCATTGGCTATGTAGGCGGCTGCATTCAGGCTGCAATTGACAGCGGGCTTGTGTACGATCTCCGGTTCGTTGCTGTTGATATAAGAATGAAAATTCAATGAGAATCGAACTCCTTTAAGTAGGTTATCTAGCACTTGCCCATTTATATCCAACTCCTGGGTGGACTGGGCATTGCGCAGTTTTCCGGGTCCATAGAAGTGCTCCACCTCAGAGTCCTCATCGTCAACCTCGTCCGCATCGGCCTCGTCTGTGCTGAGCTGGCTGGAAACAAAAAAAAAAAACGTAAGATCAGAGGATTCTTGAAAGCCTTGACGTGTACTCACAACTTGTTCAGCGAAGTCTTCAGTGTATTCTGCCTGTTACTCTTGTGCAGGCGCTTCAGCTCCGCCTCGCGCGACTTGAGGCCCTGCAGCTCCTGCTGGATCTTCTGCTCGACGCAATGGCCTGCCCTCTGCTGGTGATAGGGTGACTGTAGTGGCTGAATGGTATGGCCATATAATGGTGCATCTTTTGGGCTGAATTAATAGAAAAGAGCGGAAGTGACAATGCATGGCAGGCTCTTGCGATGAATTTAGACCGGAAACACAGTTTGTTCTGTATTAATTTGCTTTTTGGCCGTCAGGTGGCCTCAACGTCAAAAGTACCTTATTTCAATTTTATTTTATCCGTTTATAGCAGAGTCACAAAATACTACGTATACGCACTGGTATAACTTAAAATATTATAAAAAAAAAATCGAAAGAAAAAAGGGTTATTTTTTAGAAACTACACAACTAATCATGGACCTAAAACTGTATATAAAGAAAGAAAGTGCAAGGTTTTATTTATTTTTGTTATAGCATTAAGCAATTGGGGCTTTGAGGGTATTAAATTAATTTCTTAGCTGAGTATTAACAATGTCCACAGACGTGACAAGATCTTGAAGCCTTATACATTATCCTGCCTGGATGTGTTTATGAAGTGAGCTGCACCACCATCACCCCCCACCACAATTCCCAAACGATGTCGTACGGCGGGTCAGAGGTAGCTAGTGGATGGGGAATTTATCGGGGAATCAGGTTGTGAAGGTTGTGGGGGTGAAGCCAAGCTAATTTACACAATGTGTAACAAAACTTGGGTCTTTATTTATTTTAGTACCTACCTACTATGTTCGGCCATATGTCAAAGTTCGCATTCATTTGGGCTTTTTATTGCATACCCTTACCTTCCGTACACACCCACTCACACACACACACACTCAACCACACACACACACATTCAGCACTCGTTTGATTTGCCCCTAATTGCTTTGTAAAGAACAAGAAGAAAAGAATAATGGTTATAATGACAAACCACATTTGTATTTATATATATATTGAGTCCGATCAATCGAATCAAAGCAAATTCTATAAATAACCATACTTGCACGTCATATAGCCCCCATAATTACTAATACTCGATGACCTTTTGTATGTATATCCTGTGTGCCTGCAAACTACAAACTACGAACTATGAACTATGAACTTCAAACCTTCAAACTTCAATCTGCGATCATCCAGTTATGTGACCATGGGTATAGATTTAGGTAATCTTGCAGCCTTGCGAACGTTTAGGGTGCTGCGAGCGCTTAAAACCGTAGCCATTGTGCCAGGTATGAATTCTGAGATATCTATATAAATAATATATGATCAAACACATATTATATATACACATAAATAATCATCTACACCACTCTTACGTTTACCAAACATAGGCCTGAAGACCATCGTCGGTGCCGTCATCGAATCTGTGAAGAATCTGCGCGATGTGATAATCCTCACGATGTTCTCCCTGTCGGTGTTTGCGCTGATGGGGCTGCAGATTTACATGGGCGTTCTGACGCAGAAGTGCATCAAGAAGTTCCCGCTGGATGGCTCCTGGGGTAACCTTACCGATGAGAACTGGGACTATCACAATCGCAATAGCTCCAATTGGTACTCGGAGGACGAGGGCATCTCGTTTCCACTGTGCGGCAATATCTCCGGAGCGGGGTAAGTTAGGAGGGAATATATCTGAACTCCAGGATCACGTTTAAGCTATACCTGTTATACATTAATATCATCTCATGTCCCTTTCCATGCTACTTGTACCGCTTCCAACCGCCTCGCTCCGATCGCAGGCAATGCGACGATGATTACGTGTGCCTGCAGGGGTTTGGACCGAATCCGAACTATGGCTACACCAGCTTCGATTCGTTCGGCTGGGCCTTTCTGTCCGCCTTTAGACTGATGACGCAGGACTTCTGGGAGGACCTCTATCAGCTGGTGTTGCGCGCCGCAGGACCATGGCACATGCTGTTCTTTATAGTCATCATCTTCCTAGGTTCATTCTATCTTGTGAATTTGATTTTGGCCATTGTTGCCATGTCGTATGACGAATTGCAAAAGAAGGCCGAAGAAGAAGAGGCTGCCGAAGAGGAGGCGATACGTGTAAGTAGACACCCAGACCTGTTGCTCCCCAGACAACCGCCAACTGCAACTGCAACCGCAACAGCAACAGCAACAGCAACTGCAACTGTGCAACAGTGCACTGGCTCCTGTAGCTGCGGCGGCCAACGGCCAACAGCCAAGTAGAATTGGTAACTGGATTGGTAACTGCAGCTGCAGCAGCCAGTGCTGCACAGTGGGACAAATAGAGACCAGATAGAAAAAGAGACCTAAAACAAAAGAAAACAAAATGAATTGATAGACTGACAAAAGATGTACTTGGAACCAGAACTATAACTATTACTTAACTTAACTTGAACTGAACCACTGAAATCCCAACTCGCTGTGGTAGATAATTTCAATTTCGATTGCTGCGGGATCTCGATCGAGTATTGAGAATATCTACCCGTACCAAGAACAGCGACTGCAACCACAACAGACTTGCTTTTTTCTTTTGTATATGTACTATACATATATAGAAAATCGACTACTCTCGTATGTATATCGTGTACCGTATACCGTATAGCGTATAGCGTATATATGCCCGTAATATCGTATGCTTAGCTAATTGTCTATAAAACTAACTTAATCGCAACATCCTATCGAAACTATATACATATTAATATCTCTCCCGAACTCTATCTCTCTATCTATGTAACTGTCTATCTGTCTATCAGTCTCGCTGCCTTCATTGTACAAATTGTCGTGCTGTATAGTCCGTCCGATCGATCGTCTATATATATGTATATATATGTGTGTTAAGTCACTAACCATTCAGCTTTCCGAGCTCCTCTGTCTCTCTCTCTCTCTCTATCTCTCTGTTTCTCTGTCTATATTATATATAAATATAATACATACTCGTACTTACTATAATTTATGATTTTAGTGCACCATTAGTTTCGATCCTGTCACTAGTCACAAAACGATTAACGATTAAAAGAACAAAAGAAAAAATCAAATTACTTACAACCTATACTTACTATATATATATATATATATATATATATATAATTATTTATATATATATATATATATATTTCACTATATGTATGAATATGTATCTATCAAAACTCAAACCCCCAACGCCCTGTGTACCCCCAAAAAAACCCATCCTTAAGACCCAGCACAGCACTGTATCGTATGATTTTTACTTGATCTGTGTATGTACCAACTATAAACGATCAAAGTAGCGTAGTTTTGCTTTTCGTATTGTACAAAAACCCAGCCTCCATCCCCAGTCCCACTTAATTCCACTCCCTTCTGATCCGATCCGATCCGATCCAATCCGATCCGATCAGAGACTGCCTGCACTCTGCACTGTATATAATCGCTTATCCACCTGCATGCTCGTTGTAGGAAGCGGAAGAGGCGGCTGCCGCCAAAGCGGCCAAGCTGGAGGAGCGGGCCAATGCCCAGGCGCAGGCAGCAGCGGATGCAGCTGCTGCCGAGGAGGCCGCCCTGCATCCAGAGATGGCCAAGAGTCCGACATATTCCTGCATCAGCTACGAGATGTTCGTCGGCGGCGAAAAGGGCAACGATGACAACAACAAGGAGAAGATGTCCATACGCAGCGTCGAGGTGGAGTCGGAGTCGGTGAGCGTTATACAAAGACAACCAGCACCTACCACAGCACACCAAGCTACCAAAGTTCGTAAAGTGAGCACGGTAAGTATTCCGAGCGCAGGCGCAGCATTTCTTTTTACCTTCCTTTCCATTCCAGTCTCTTGATTTCCGTTCCATTTGACTTTTGACGAGTTCCAGTTTCAGTTTCCGTTTCCGTTTGTGCCCTTTTTCGTTTATATTTCCCTATTGTTTCTCCATTGATCCTACTTAGTTACATAACGTTCTTAGGTTTAGTTTCCGTTTCAGTTTCGGTTCGGCTTTTGCTTTTTGGGCTTCACTGTGCCCAAGTCTTTTCAGACCAACTTAAATGTGTTAATTTGAATTGCGTTTCCATCGGTTTATTATAAATATATGTGTTGCCTTGAGTTGCTTTTGGCCTCCGTTGCATTTCCGTTATTTTGATATTCTATTGATCTGTATGATCGATCGACTTTCCCCACGATCGCCGATAGTTTCGACCTAGTTTCTAGGCCATATGTGCAATCGAGAATTCGCGTCGCCGCTACAGCTAAAGTTAGAGCTACAGTAGCAGTTACAGTTATAGTTACCGTTTCCGCTAACGCTACCGTTACATTGCCATTGCATTGTTATCGAACCTGAGTTCCAGTTATCGCCTATCATTTTGTATCGTTTCTCGTTAATCTCGTAATCTCGTTTCTCGTCGATATTCCTTTGATTAGTTTGATCATTTTGTTGGATATCTCTCTCCCCGTTTTTGATTGAATCGTACATCTCGTACCTTATATGCCTTATGTATAACATAGCCGTATGATCATGCAACTAGATATTGAATCCTTTCATACCGTATCTGGATATAGTGTAGTGCGTGCCATCTGTATGTATGTATTAGATCTTTATCTATCTCTTGAATATCCATTTGGTTATACTCTTCTACCTTTGATTAACGTTTCCATTTCCGTTTCGGTTTTAATTTCCTTTTCCGTTTCTGTTAGCTATTTGCATGCGTGTGTCCGTGTGTGCGTGAGTGTCGGTGGTATACAGAATCCCGTATGGATTCCTAATTCTAATGAAGGAGCCTCTTGACTGATTTATTTATCCATTTGCCTAGTGGAGACTCAATAACTTTTAATTTTTCCACGATTCGTCATGAGTTTCGTTCTGTAATTCGTAATTTTTGTTACTGTTATTGTTTCGATTTCGATTTTGGTTGGGTCATTGCTCGGAATGCTTTAGGTAAAATAGAAAATTTTCAACAATATTCCAATGTGGTTATCTCGACAATTGGCTTTTAAACGCATTCTGCAATTCTGCAAGCAAACCAAAATAACAAGCAAACAACCGATCAAAAATATAGGAGAGCCCCTTGGGTTCGGCTTAAGATTCGTACGCTTGAAGAACGCTTTGAGCCCACATAAAAACACTAATTGTTATTAATTTTTATTCTCGGGTTATGGTTTCGATTTGGGTTACTTTAGATTTCGATTTCGGTTTTAATCCAGGCCGGGACTTATTTAATTTAAAGTTGTGTTCCTGTTCTCGTTTTGGTTGCCCTTTAGTGTTACGATTTGGTTCCAGAATAATTTTGATATTGTGCGATAGAGTTTGAGATTTGATAATTTCTGTGGATGCATAAACCATTGCATGCATTAATTAGTTACAATATGTTAGCTCTCTCTCACGACACACACGATAACTAAATGGCATATGGCAAGCGTTTGCTTTTTGCACATTAACACAAAGGACACGCGCGCCTTTCGAGGATATCCGCGATAGCCGTTAATCGACAACCCACACAGATATCAAAGCCCAAATAACCGATCTTAGGCGGCTAAGTATCGGTTCGTTTTCCATTAAATTTTTAACCGAAGACACAGCCAACTGAACTGCCTTAAATAGCTAAGAACAAAAAAAATAATAGTCGAAAAATAAACATACTCACATACGATACAATACTGATAACCAAAGTACTGATTGATAACTCGCTATCCGCTGTCTCGCTCGCTCGCTAGCTCGTTCTAATCGACCATCCATTTTGCTCTGGCAGCCTCAGATAGTTTTTGATGAGAGCAGAAACTATTTGGGATTGACCGTTGATCGTAGATCGATAAATTCCCCAAAACCTCAGGTAGGTTGCTCTCGCTCTCTCTCTCTCTCTCTCTCTCTCTGTCTATCTCTATCTCTCTCCCACACACACACACACTCTGTCTCTCTATTTCTATATCCAAAACTCAAGAACTCTCAGACAAAAACCGTATGTGTTCACCCCCTCTGAACAAGTGTGATTAGGGTCCAGATATGACATACCGATACCGCGTATATTGATATAAACGTATATCAAAATATATATTATATATATTATTAGAGCTGCCACGATCCCTTCCAAATGCCACGCCCCCAGAGATCGAAAGCGCCGTAGATTTGTGATTTGAAACTAGATATGCATCCGTACGAAGTTTGGAAGAGATTTGCCTAGAGTTGAATTGTAGAACTTAACGATTAACACTTTATTTTGTTTATTCGATTATTTCTCGTTACCGTTATTGCGTTACTGCGCCGGCTTTTCCCGAAAAGAAAGCGTGGGATGAAAATTTTCCAATCCATTTTAGTGTTTGTTCAAATATTTTCGTTTATCCTCCCTTACGTATTGTTCCATTGAAGTTATCTCTTTCGTTGTTAATTAATAATTCTTGATCTAAAAACAGTTTATTTTATTGTAAATCCAAAAACCCGACCCTAAAATATTTAGATAAATTAAGCAACATTTCAAATAAACGCTTTGCTGAAGTAGAAATGAAATCACACCACAAATTAAAAACTCAAGCTCAATCTTTCACAATAAACAAGATGTAAAAAACAAAAAAAAAAAGGAACACACGCGGAACATATACACATTCTCACACTCATACAATTAAATGCTCCCAGTAATCATTTTTCCTTTAAACTGTAGACAGCAAAATCGAATACTTAATTTATAACAAAACCCAAAAAAAAGAACAAAAATTGTACAAAAAAAAAAAAAAAAAAAAAAAAAATATATATATATATATATATATATATATATATATATATATATATACATTTATACATAGATAATAAAACCGCAATCGAGGAATATATATATTTTATTTGATTCATTTTTCCTTTTCTTCTTCTACTTATACTTTTTTTGTACAACAAATGAAAAAAATGAAAACGAAACGAAATGAAAAACAAAACTTAGACATCCTTATCCTTACCTGGTTCACCGTTTAACATACGCAGGGGATCACGTAGTTCTCACAAGGTAAGCGCCCAACACACACACACACACATACAGACTCACATACACACGCCCACATCCACTGACACCGCACACAGATGTACGCAATCAGAGATCACTGATCACAGATCACAACCACACACTTACACAGACACAGAATTGCGTAAAATAAACATATCATCGGACAGTTCATCAAGTCCATGCGGATATCCAATCTGGCTCCAATGATCACCAGATCAGATCATATACTATATATCGATCGTTCGAGGCTCACAGTTTAGCTACAGTCAAGTACAAGTATCTGTACCCCTACCATTACCCATATCCTGTAGGCCGTACAACGTTTAGATTTTGCATAGTTTTCGAAATAGAACGAAACTCCATCAAACATAAAAGATTTTTTTGGATCATACCCACATATAAGCGATTAGTTAGCGTATAGCATCTGTATAACATCTTTAATATTCTGTAATACTCTGAGAGATACATGTGGCACTATATCCATATATCGATAAGCAATCGCATTAGCGTAATCATAATCATAATCATTCACCTAATCGTCTATGACTGTCTACATGTCTTTTATAGTTTTATTTTCCTCTCTTCGATAATTTTTTTTTCGGTTTGGCCTTGTTTTGTTGTTTTGTGTATCGCTGTATCTCCATTTCCCAATATATAAATATATATATATTGTTATATATACTATCGTGCATATCCATCTATGAACATATATAGTCGTCTAACTATCTGTACTGCTCTGTACTGTACTCGGTTGTAAGTGTGTCTGTCTCTGTGTGCCTGTCCTCAGTACTTTTGTACAATCTGTAACCAGAACTCTTCTGGCCCTGGTTAGCTTGATCTCTGCAGTGGGCTTTGATGGGAACAGTACTCGCTCTTACCCAGGATCTCAGTCATCTCACGGTCACTGTCACTACCACGATCACAGCCATAGTCGCAACCCATTCTCACTGTCACCCCAAACTCTGACTTTCACTTTCACTCCGGCATCTGCATCTTATATTTGTCTTTGTTTTTGTTTAAACATTGATTTTGTCGTTCCTCTTGGTTAATTCTTGTATTGGTTTTGTTATTTTCTCTATATAAGTATTTGTGTAATCATGTCCTATATATACAAAAACATAAACCTATTAAGACAACAGTAATACTATTCTAAATTATTTCTGTGGTCCGATATGTTAAATGTTAAACCAACACTAATCCAAATCCGTCTAGATACTTTGTATGTCTAAGCTGGTTTCATTTGATTTAATTCGTATCCGCTCTTCAGTTATCATTCTTACCCTTTAATTGCTCATACCAATCCCCATCGATAACGTGACTTTCTGTTCGATAAAAGGCCCAATAGGCCCAAGAATAACCCTGCGTCATAACTACTACTGTACTACTTTACCTTACTCCTACTACTGCTCTCTGTTGTACAACTACTTTATAATATTACGATTATATTATATATATATAATAAATACATAACCATAAACGTAACTGTGTGCGAGACTGGGTGTGTGTGCGAGAGTGCGTGTGTGAATGCCAATGGAGTGAAACGAGTACTAACTGTATTGCATCCTGTGTCGAACATGTCCAGTACACGATAAGAAACGGACGTGGCCGCTTTGGTATACCCGGTAGCGATCGCAAACCGTTGGTACTGTCAACATATCAGGACGCCCAGCAGCACCTGCCCTATGCCGACGACTCGAATGCCGTCACTCCAATGTCCGAGGAGAACGGGGCCATTATAGTGCCCGTCTACTATGGCAATCTAGGTGAGATCAACACAGCATTCATTTAAATTGAGGGACCAGTGCTTATCCGCTAATCTGCAGGCTCTCGGAACTCATCCTACACCTCGCATCATTCCCGAATATCGTATACCTCACATGGCGATCTACTCGGCGGCATGGCCGTCATGGGCGTCAGCACAATGACCAAGGAGAGCAAGTTGCGCAATCGCAACACACGCAATCAATCAGTGGGCGCCACCAATGGCGGCACCACCTGCTTGGACACCAATCACAAGGTTGAGCATCGCGACTACGTAAGTTCAATCCCCAATATATACATCAATTGCAAGTGCTATATCAAATCGATAATTGCAGGAAATTGGTCTGGAGTGCACGGACGAGGCCGGCAAGATTAAACATCATGACAATCCTTTTATCGAGCCCGTCCAAACACAAACTGTGGTTGATATGAAAGGTATGGTTTTTATACCCTTCTAAGGGTATTTTGATTTCAATCAGAAGCTAAGAACTTAGTGAAGGAATCATTTTTGACCCTATACATCACATATAGCCTTGATCAGCATCTAGCCATTAAAGCATTTTGGCTTAGTTAAGAATTTTTTAAACTGATTGTCAAAAAAAAAAAGTGATATAAAAATGACAATTTCAAGAATTCTTTAGAAGAAAATATAATTTTAATCAGTGAAGGAATCATTTTCGACCCTATGTATTCTTGATCATCGTCAGCAGAAGAATCCATCTAGCCATTAAAACACTTTGGCTTAGTTATGAATTTTTTAAATTTTGATTATCCCAAATAAAAAATTATCAAATAAAAATGACAATTTCAAGAATCTTGCAGAGGAAAATATAATTTTAATCAGTGAAGGAATCATTTCAGACCCTATAACGCATATATATTCATGATCAGCATGAACAGGAGAATCGTTCTAGCCATGTCCGGTAAAAAACCAAAAATTTTCAAATTTTTTCAAATTTGCAAAAAAAGATAAGGGGTTACATTGTTAAAATTTGTACAAATTGGCCAAAAATTTTAATTTTTTTAAATTTTATATTGAGTATGCAGATTTATTAACCGTATAAAAATTCGCATAGGAACGTTTTCCGAATTAAAATTGAAGCATTTTTGGCTTAGTAATGAATTTTTTAAACTTTGATTTGTCAGAAAAAAATATACATATATATGAAGAAATTTCAATTTCCAGAATCTTGCAGGGGAAAATATAATTTTAACAAGTGAAGAAGTCCTTTCCGACCCTATAAATCATATATATCCTTGATCAGGATCAGCAGGAGAATTCATCTAGCCATTAAAACACGTTGGCTTAGTTATAAATTTTTAAAATTTGGATTATCCCAATTAAAAAATTATCAAATAAAATTGACAATTTCAAGAATCTTGCAGAGGAAAATATAATTTTAATCAGTGAAGGAATCATTTCAGACCCTATAAAGCATATATATTCTTGATCAGCATGAACAGGAAAATCGTTCTAGCCATGTCCGGTAAAAACCAAAAATTTTCCAATTTTTTTCAAATTTGCAAAAAAAGATAAGGGGTTACATCGTTAAAATTTGTACAAATTGGCCAAAAATTTTAATTTTTTTTAATTTTATATTGAGTATGCAGATTTATTAACCGTATAAAAATTCGCATAGGAACGTTTTCCGAATTAAAATTGAAGCATTTTTGGCTTAGTAATGAATTTTTTAAACTTTGATTTGTCAGAAAAAAATATATATATGAAGAAATTTCAATTTCAAGAATCTTGCAGGGGAAAATATAATTTTAACAAGTGAAGGAGGCCTTTCCGACCCTATAAATCATATATATCCTTGATCAGGATCAGCAGGAGAATTCATCTAGCCATTAAAACACGTTGGCTTAGTTATAAATTTTTAAAATTTTGATTATCCCAAATAAAAAATTATCAAATAAAAATGACAATTTCAAGAATCTTGCAGAGGAAAATATAATTTTAATCAGTGAGGGAATCATTTCAGACCCTATAAAGCATATATATTCTTGATCAGCATGAACAGGAGAAACGTTCTAGCCATGTCCGGTAAAAACCAAAAATTTTCCAATTTTTTCAAATTTGCAAAAAAAGATAAGGGGTTACATCGTTAAAATTTGTACAAATTGGTCAAAAATTTTATTTTTTTTAAATTTTATATTGAGTATGCAGATTTATTAACCGTATAAAAATTCGCATAGAAACGTTTTCCGAATTAAAATTGAAGCATTTTTGGCTTAGTTATGAATTTTTTAAACTTTGATTTGTCAGAAAAAAATATACATAAGTATATATGAAGAAATTTCAATTTCCAGAATCTTGCAGGGGAAAATATAATTTTAACAAGTGAAGGAGGCCTTTCCGACCCTATAAATCATATATATCCTTGATCAGGATCAGCAGGAGAATTCATCTAGCCATTAAAACACGTTGGCTTAGTTATAAATTTTTAAAATTTTGATTATCCCAAATAAAAAATTATCAAATAAAAATGACAATTTCAAGAATCTTGCAGAGGAAAATATAATTTTAATCAGTGAGGGAATCATTTCAGACCCTATAAAGCATATATATTCTTGATCAGCATGAACAGGAGAAACGTTCTAGCCATGTCCGGTAAAAACCAAAAATTTTCCAATTTTTTCAAATTTGCAAAAAAAGATAAGGGGTTACATCGTTAAAATTTGTACAAATTGGTCAAAAATTTTATTTTTTTTAAATTTTATATTGAGTATGCAGATTTATTAACCGTATAAAAATTCGCATAGAAACGTTTTCCGAATTAAAATTGAAGCATTTTTGGCTTAGTTATGAATTTTTTAAACTTTGATTTGTCAGAAAAAAATATACATATATATGAAGAAATTTCAATTTCCAGAATCTTGCAGGGGAAAATATAATTTTAACAAGTGAAGGAGTCCTTTCCGACCCTATAAATCATATATATCCTTGATCAGGATCAGCAGGAGAATTCATCTAGCCATTAAAACACGTTGGCTTAGTTATAAATTTTTAAAATTTTGATTATCCCAAATAAAAAATTATCAAATAAAATTGACAATTTCAAGAATCTTGCAGAGGAAAATATAATTTTAATCAGTGAAGGTATCTTTTCAGACCCTATAAAGCATATATATTCTTGATCAGCATGAACAGGAGAATCGTTCTAGCCATGTCCGGTAAAAACCAAAAATTTTCAAATTTTTTCAAATTTGCAAAAAAAGATAAGGGGTTACATCGTTAAAGTTTGTACAAATTGGGCAAAAATTTTAATTTTTTTAAATTTTATATTGAGTATGCAGATTTATTAACCGTATAAAAATTCGCATAGGAACGTTTTCCGAATTAAAATTGAAGCATTTTTGGCTTAGTAATGAATTTTTTAAACTTTGATTTGTCAGAAAAAAATATACATATATATGAAGAAATTTCAATTTCCAGAATCTTGCAGGGGAAAATATAATTTTAACAAGTGAAGGAGTCCTTTCCGACCCTATAAATCATATATATCCTTGATCAGGATCAGCAGGAGAATTCATCTAGCCATTAAAACACGTTGGCTTAGTTATAAATTTTTAAAATTTTGATTATCCCAAATAAAAAATTATCAAATAAAAATGACAATTTCAAGAATCTTGCAGGGGAAAATATAATTTTAATCAGTGAGGGAATCATTTCAGACCCTATAAAGCATATATATTCTTGATCAGCATGAACAGGAGAATCGTTCTAGCCATGTCCGGTAAAAACCAAAAATTTTCCAATTTTTTCAAATTTGCAAAAAAAGATAAGGGGTTACATCGTTAAAATTTGTACAAATTGGCAAAAATTTTAATTTTTTTAAATTTTATATTGAGTATGCAGATTTATTAACCGTATAAAAATTCGCATAGAAACGTTTTCCGAATTAAAATTGAAGCATTTTTGGCTTAGTTATGAATTTTTTAAACTTTGATTTGTCAGAAAAAAATATATATATGAAGAAATTTCAATTTCAAGAATCTTGCAGGGGAAAATATAATTTTAACAAGTGAAGGAGGCCTTTCCGACCCTATAAATCATATATATCCTTGATCAGGATCAGCAGGAGAATTCATCTAGCCATTAAAACACGTTGGCTTAGTTATAAATTTTTAAAATTTTGATTATCCCAAATAAAAAATTATCAAATAAAAATGACAATTTCAAGAATCTTGCAGAGGAAAATATAATTTTAATCAGTGAGGGAATCATTTCAGACCCTATAAAGCATATATATTCTTGATCAGCATGAACAGGAGAATCGTTCTAGCCATGTCCGGTAAAAACCAAAAATTTTCAAATTTTTTCAAATTTGCAAAAAAGATAAGGGGTTACATCGTTAAAGTTTGTACAAATTGGCCAAAAATTTTAATTTTTTAAAATTTTATATTGAGTATGCAGATTTATTAACCGTATAAAAATTCGCATAGGAACGTTTTCCGAATTAAAATTGAAGCATTTTTGGCTTAGTAATGAATTTTTTAAACTTTGATTTGTCAGAAAAAAATATACATATATATGAAGAAATTTCAATTTCCAGAATCTTGCAGGGGAAAATATAATTTTAACAAGTGAAGGAGTCCTTTCCGACCCTATAAATCATATATATCCTTGATCAGGATCAGCAGGAGAATTCATCTAGCCATTAAAACACGCTGGCTTAGTTATAAATTTTTAAAATTTTGAATATCCCAAATAAAAAATTATCAAATAAAAATGACAATTTCAAGAATCTTGCAGAGGAAAATATAATTTTAATCAGTGAGGGAATCATTTCAGACCCTATAAAGCATATATATTCTTGATCAGCATGAACAGGAGAATCGTTCTAGCCATGTCCGGTAAAAACCAAAAATTTTCAAATTTTTTCAAATTTGCAAAAAAAGATAAGGGGTTACATCGTTAAAGTTTGTACAAATTGGCCAAAAATTTTAATTTTTTAAAATTTTATATTGAGTATGCAGATTTATTAACCGTATAAAAATTCGCATAGAAACGTTTTCCGAATTAAAATTGAAGCATTTTTGGCTTAGTTATGAATTTTTTAAACTTTGATTTGTCAGAAAAAAATATACATATATATGAAGAAATTTCAATTTCCAGAATCTTGCAGGGGAAAATATAATTTTAACAAGTGAAGGAGTCCTTTCCGACCCTATAAATCATATATATCCTTGATCAGGATCAGCAGGAGAATTCATCTAGCCATTAAAACACGTTGGCTTAGTTATAAATTTTTAAAATTTTGATTATCCCAAATAAAAAATTATCAAAAAAAAATTGACAATTTCAAGAATCTTGCAGAGGAAAATATAATTTTAATCAGTGAAGGAATCTTTTCAGACCCTATAAAGCATATATATTCTTGATCAGCATGAACAGGAGAATCGTTCTAGCCATGTCCGGTAAAAACCAAAAATTTTCAAATTTTGTTCAAATTTGCAAAAAAAGATAAGGGGTTACATCGTTAAAATTTGTACAAATTGGCAAAAATTTTAATTTTTTTAAATTTTATATTGAGTATGCAGATTTATTAACCGTATAAAAATTCGCATAGGAACGTTTTCCGAATTAAAATTGAAGCATTTTTGGCTTAGTAATGAATTTTTTAAACTTTGATTTGTCAGAAAAAAATATATATATGAAGAAATTTCAATTTCAAGAATCTTGCAGGGGCAAATGTAATTTTCACAAGTGAAGGAGTCATTTCCGACCCTATAAATCATATATATCCTTGATCAGGATCAGCAGGAGAATTTATCTAGCCATTAAAACACGTTGGCTTAGTTATAAATTTTTAAAATTTTGATTATCCCAAATAAAAAATTATCAAATAAAATTGACAATTTCAAGAATCTTGCAGAGGAAAATATAATTTTAATCAGTGAGGGAATCATTTCAGAATCTATAAAGCATATATATTCTTGATCAGCATGAACAGGAGAATCGTTCTAGCCATGTCCGGTAAAAACCAAAAATTTTCAAATTTTTTTCAAATTTGCAAAAAAAGATAAGGGGTTACATCGTTAAAATTTGTACAAATTGGCCAAAAATTTTAATTTTTTTAAATTTTATATTGAGTATGCAGATTTATTAACCGTATAAAAATTCGCATAGGAACGTTTTCCGAATTAAATTTGAAGCATTTTTGGCTTAGTAATGAATTTTTTAAACTTTGATTTGTCAGAAAAAAATATATATATGAAGAAATTTCAATTTCAAGAATCTTGCAGGGGCAAATGTAATTTTCACAAGTGAAGGAGTCATTTCCGACCCTATAAATCATATATATCCTTGATCAGGATCAGCAGGAGAATTTATCTAGCCATTAAAACACGTTGGCTTAGTTATAAATTTTTAAAATTTTGATTATCCCAAATAAAAAATTATCAAATAAAAATGACAATTTCAAGAATCTTGCAGAGGAAAATATAATTTTAATCAGTGAGGGAATCATTTCAGACCCTATAACGCATATATATTCTTGATCAGCATGAACAGGAGAATCGTTCTAGCCATGTCCGGTAAAAACCAAAAATTTTCCAATTTTTTCAAATTTGCAAAAAAAGATAAGGGGTTACATCGTTAAAATTTGTACAAATTGGCAAAAATTTTAATTTTTTTAAATTTTATATTGAGTATGCAGATTTATTAACCGTATAAAAATTCGCATAGGAACGTTTTCCGAATTAAAATTGAAGCATTTTTGGCTTAGTAATGAATTTTTTAAACTTTGATTTGTCAGAAAAAAAAATACATATATATGAAGAAATTTCAATTTCCAGAATCTTGCAGGGGAAAATATAATTTTAACAAGTGAAGAAGTCCTTTCCGACCCTATAAATCATATATATCCTTGATCAGGATCAGCAGGAGAATTCATCTAGCCATTAAAACACGTTGGCTTAGTTATACATTTTTAAAATTTTGATTATCCCAAATAAAAAATTATCAAATAAAATTGACAATTTCAAGAATCTTGCAGAGGAAAATATAATTTTAATCAGTGAAGGAATCTTTTCAGACCCTATAAAGCATATATATTCTTGATCAGCATGAACAGGAGAATCGTTCTAGCCATGTCCGGTAAAAACCAAAAATTTTCAAATTTTTTTCAAATTTGCAAAAAAAGATAAGGGGTTACATCGTTAAAATTTGTACAAATTGGCAAAAATTTTAATTTTTTTAAATTTTATATTGAGTATGCAGATTTATTAACCGTATAAAAATTCGCATAGGAACGTTTTCCGAATTAAAATTGAAGCATTTTTGGCTTAGTAATGAATTTTTTAAACTTTGATTTGTCAGAAAAAAAAATACATATATATGAAGAAATTTCAATTTCCAGAATCTTGCAGGGGAAAATATAATTTTAACAAGTGAAGAAGTCCTTTACGACCCTAAAAATCATATATATCCTTGATCAGGATCAGCAGGAATTCTCCTGCTAGCCATTAAAACACGTTGGCTTAGTTATAAATTTTTAAAATTTTGATTATCCCAAATAAAAAATTATCAAATAAAATTGACAATTTCAAGAATCTTGCAGAGGAAAATATAATTTTAATCAGTGAAGGAATCATTTCAGACCCTATAAAGCATATATATTCTTGATCAGCATGAACAGGAGAATCGTTCTAGCCATGTCCGGTAAAAACCAAAAATTTTCCAATTTTTTCAAATTTGCAAAAAAAGATAAGGGGTTACATCGTTAAAATTTGTACAAATTGGTCAAAAATTTTAATTTTTTTAAATTTTATATTGAGTATGCAGATTTATTAACCGTATAAAAATTCGCATAGGAACGTTTTCCGAATTAAAATTAAAGCATTTTTGGCTTAGTAATGAATTTTTTAAACTTTGATTTGTCAGAAAAAAATATATATATGAAGAAAATATAATTTTAACAAGTGAAGGAGTCCTTTCCGACCCTATAAATCATATATATCCTTGATCAGGATCAGCAGGAGAATTCATCTAGCCATTAAAACACGTTGGCTTAGTTATAAATTTTTAAAATTTTGATTATCCCAAATAAAAAATTATCAAATAAAAATGACAATTTCAAGAATCTTGCAGAGGAAAATATAATTTTAATCAGTGAGGGAATCATTTCAGACCCTATAAAGCATATATATTCTTGATCAGCATGAACAGGAGAATCGTTCTAGCCTTGTCCGGTAAAAACCAAAAATTTTCCAATTTTTTCAAATTTGCAAAAAAAGATAAGGGGTTACATCGTTAAAATTTGTACAAATTGGCCAAAAATTTTAATTTTTTTAAATTTTATATTGAGTATGCAGATTTATTAACCGTATAAAAATTCGCATAGGAACGTTTTCCGAATTAAAATTGAAGCATTTTTGGCTTAGTAATGAATTTTTTAAACTTTGATTTGTCAGAAAAAAATATATATATGAAGAAATTTCAATTTCAAGAATCTTGCAGGGGCAAATGTAATTTTCACAAGTGAAGGAGTCATTTCCGACCCTATAAATCATATCAGGATCAGGATCAGCAGAAGAATCCATCTAGCCATAAAACACTTTGGCTTAGTTATGAATTATTGTATCATTTTTGACTTAGTTCAGCGCTTTTTAAACATTCATTTGTCGAAAAATTCTCATATAAAAATATGAATAAATATCGATTTAAAACTGCTTCTATTCTAAACTGAGGTACTAAAATGAAGTTGTTATTAACAGCATAATACAATATAAATCAAAATGGCACCTTACATGGTTGTCATGTAAAGAATGGCGTCCAACGGCGGAGTAATAAAATAAGTAATAAATAGCAATACAGACATTAAAAAGTCTAAATATATACGACTTGAGCCCTCTTTACTACTCTTACTATAAAATAAGTAATACTCTGCCTCCTTTTGTTTCCTTTCAGATGTGATGGTCCTGAATGACATTATCGAACAGGCCGCAGGTCGGCACAGTCGGGCCAGCGATCGTGGCGGTAAGTAGAATTTTATTTGCTTGCCAATAAAAGTAACGTTTGATTATCAATTAATATAAACATTTCGTTCATTCTGTACATTTTTGCATCCAATCGATCGTCGTCTCTTTTGTGTTAAACCTTACATGTGCATTGTTCGATTTAAGTTTCGTTTCCTGTTCTGTTATCATGTAAATAATCAAATCTCAAATTCGTCTTGGGGTGAGCGTGGAAAATCAAGACAGCAAGCGTCTACATTTTCCCTCCTCCTTTCTTTAACTAACTTATATTTTTGGCTTACAAAAAAACAAAAAAACAACATAGCCTAAGATCATTATCTACATTTCCGCTCGTAGTGGGATTCCGCCGGAAACGGAAACAGTGAAATGACAGCCGCAACTTTGGTTTCCCTTCATATTCTTATGATTTAATTTTGCATTTTGATTGCGGTCTTTCGTTTTGATTTTATCAGTTTTAATTTGCATGAATTTATGGTGCTCCCATTTCTACGAACGACTCCTCCCCCTGATGGCCCGGTTGATTGACGGATCGATTGTTTTATTGATTGCTGGCTGGACTAGAGCTCGCATGCGGCCAGCATCCTGTGCATCCCGTGCATCCTTCGATTTATATTTGATAATTAATAAAGAATCTCGTGGCTTTAAGTTTATATTTGTTTAATCATTGCATTTTCCTTTTGTGTTCCGTTTAGTTGTGCATACTCTTTACTCGTGTGTGTGTACACAAACATACATATATATATATATAAATATTTTTGATTCTCATTTTTGATTCCATTCCTATTCCTTTTTGAAAAAAAAAAAGAGCTAATACCCGCAAAACAAAGCCAAGCAAACATATTTTATATATATACCTATGCATATATATCTACCCATATATATATATATATATCAACTCCAATGAATGACTTCTTTGACTCGTCCATTTTATTTAATGCCGTTGATGCTAACAGAAGAAAGCGAACAAGAAAAAAGAGAAAAAAACAATAAATTAAAAAAAACTTTACAACAAATGTTAAAAAAAAAAACAGAAAAGCAACAACAACAGTACAGCAAAGCGCAAGCCAAAGGCATACACACACACACTGTTATACATATTATACGCTATATGATATAGTTAGAACTGCTTGCCTCACACCCACACGTACACACACAAGTGCAGCCTAAGGACGAGAGAACACAGCGCTGCTTTCTCTCACAGCCTCTCTGCCCCTAAAGCTTTCGCACGCTGCTGATGCCTCCGCCTCACACACACACTTACACTTACGCAAGATGGCAGAAGAGGTGACGCAAGTCCCACTTCCTCCTGTCAAGCTGTGACGTCTCAAGACGCTGCTCCCTAGAGAGGCTCGACAAGACAAAGTTTTTCAGAATATATACTGAGAGTAAAAGCGCGATATTTGATTTCCTTCCTATATTGATTGCTATATGTAGTGCCTGTTCCTTTACTTTGAATATTTCTTTAGTGCATGCCATTAACCGTAGTTACCTGTTATTTACTCGTATTCTTAAACTATATATTATCAAACCCAAAGTCTACTTAGATGATTTCAATTTATTCCTACGTCCGTAGTGCGTATTTCGTAATTATTTTGGATTTTGATCTTCAATATATTCACATATTAATCTTAAATTGAATCAATCGAATTGATATTTGTAGTAAACCTTTTGAGCATGCTTTTGTTGCATTATTTAGTCGAACCACGTTCACCGTTTATCTATTGATTTCCATGACTTTAAGATATTATAAACCATATATATTTAGAACAGATTCAAGTAGTAGTTGAAGCGCAGAGAAACGATTGTATTGGAATATGATTCGCGTATATAGTCCGAATATTAAAAACCCAAGGTTCCTGAGTAGCTAAACATCAGCATTAGTCCCATATATACATATATAGACTTTCGATCTGCTTATTAGTACAACGCACTGGCTGCCTATTCTTCGGCCTCCGAAGTGACGATATCCTTGACAGGATTTCCTCCAGCAAGGCTTTCGTTGCCATTGTTTAGTTAAGATCCTAGGCGTACCTTTAAACTTGAATTAAATTTGCAATCCTGTAAATTATATACTATAATTAATACCCATATATATTTTCGTTCGTTTTTCGTAATGTGCAATGTGCAAAGCAAGATTTCAAAATCAGTATCTTCAAGTAAAAGCCAAAGCCTCTCTCACACAAGACACTAACTTTCAACCGTTTGCTTAACGAATAATATCCAATGCAATAAAGCTTCAACAAAAAACAAAAATAATAATTAAACAGCAAAACAGAAAAGCAAGAAAATGAACAAAAGAATACAAAAAAGATATTGAATCTAAAGTAAAAGCAATCTGGCTGAGTCAAAGTTGGTCAAATCACCACTAATAACAAATTTTTGTATGGTTCAGTCTCCGTTTACTATTTCCCAACAGAGGACGATGACGAGGACGGGCCAACGTTCAAAGACAAGGCACTCGAAGTGATCCTCAAAGGCATCGATGTGTTTTGTGTGTGGGACTGTTGCTGGGTTTGGTTGAAATTTCAGGAGTGGGTATCGCTCATCGTCTTTGATCCCTTCGTCGAGCTCTTCATTACGCTGTGTATCGTGGTTAATACGATGTTTATGGCGATGGATCATCATGACATGAACAAGGAGATGGAACGTGTGCTCAAAAGTGGCAACTACGTGAGTAACTCCTTCTTCTACATATACATACATTCTCCTGAATATCATCTTATATATCCTATATATTCTTGCAGTTCTTCACGGCCACCTTTGCCATCGAGGCCACCATGAAGCTGATGGCCATGAGCCCCAAGTACTACTTCCAAGAGGGCTGGAACATCTTTGATTTCATCATCGTGGCCCTCTCGCTCCTGGAGCTGGGTCTCGAGGGAGTCCAGGGCCTGTCCGTCTTGCGTTCGTTTCGTTTGGTAAGCCTCCGTCCGGGTACTGATTTTCCCACAATACCATATTACCTAGCCTAGTCCCATAAGTTAGTGTTAAGATATTGCGAAAATCTAATCTCTAACTTTAGCAATGTATACGTGCAGCGTTATCCTTGCAATGCCCGATATCGGTCGCCGCGATTATTGAATTGAAACCCATAAAAACCCAGTATAAACACCTTTTCCTTTCCCCTGCCAATTTGCAGCTGCGTGTTTTCAAGCTGGCCAAGTCCTGGCCGACGCTGAATTTGCTCATATCGATTATGGGCCGCACTGTCGGCGCCCTGGGCAATTTGACCTTCGTCCTGTGCATTATAATCTTCATATTTGCGGTTATGGGCATGCAGCTGTTTGGCAAGAACTACACAGGTACTTTAGGAGACACCAATAGAGCCCTTCGTCCAACCACACCAACTCCCAACTCCCAGCCTCTAGCTCCCAGCTCCTTCTCCTAGGTCCTGGCCGAAACGTCCCTCCAATTGAAATTCAAAGCAAATTTTCTTAGTGCAACATTTTCCAAACTTTTTGCCTTCAACTTTTTCAAACTTACATATGTTTTTGAATCTATATGCGCTCCTTCTAAATAAATATATCAATATATATATATATATTTCTTAGCCGTACACCTAAGTAGGACCATAAATTCGCCTAATCCGGGAACTCGTTTAGATGGCCACGCTTTGGGCACGGTTTTTTGATTTGGTTAACCACATTACCACTTTGGTTTTTAAGATTTTGCTTTGCTGCCGATCAAATTTTAGCGGAAAATCTTGCCCGGACAATGTCTGCTATTGTATTTTCTTCAATCTACATATATACATATAAATATCCTTTTTTTCGAATCTAGAAAGAACCTTGCCGCATTTTAAGCGAATGTTACTTTTATAAGACACTTCTATAGGCCGAAAAGCAACCTAGGCATAGCCTAAGTAAGAATGAAAAAATGACCTGTATATAATTAATATAATATATATATATAGTGTTTATGTATGGGGTTAAATCGTGCACAGGAATGAAAGATATGGTGATCGCTGTGCACGATTCCAAAATGGTGATCTTTGAACACAGATCGTCGTCCTTAAATTAATGTTTACTTTAAAATAAATATGGATTGTTTTTTGAAATAATGCTACATAACCTATATACGATTTTTTTTTTTTACTATATTTTCCTAATGCTTTGCCCGGCTTTCAAATCAAATCGAACTGAATTCAAACCAAATAAACAACACGATCGATTGACCAATCGAATCGAATCAACTTCCACACACCAATTGAACTGTGAATGAAAACCCCAAAACATCAAACTGAATCAAATCAAACCAAATCAAATCAAACCGTATTCGCAACCTGCAGCTGCGTGTATTCAAATTGGCCAAATCTTGGCCAACACTTAATTTACTTATTTCGATTATGGGACGCACCATGGGCGCTTTGGGTAATCTGACATTTGTACTTTGCATTATCATCTTCATATTTGCGGTGATGGGAATGCAACTGTTTGGAAAGAATTATCATGGTAAGTGCTCTCTATAATTGAATTTATGATTATTATATGTTATGTGTGTTGTGTGTGTTTAATTGCCTTTTCTGTTCTGTTCTTCTGTGTTGAGGGTACCCAACCGGTGATTTACCCTCATTTACTTATGTATTTTCTCACCCTGTTTGCTTGAGCTGCTGCATTGTGATTGCTCAGTTTTACAAGGATTTTAAAAGAGAAATCCAGAAAACCGCCCAGCAACTTATGAATTCTTTAGTCTTATTGTTAGAATTGAACCATCCGTCCGATCCAAGACAAGGACTGTTTCATAATCTACCTGAAGCTTGAGTTGAGTTCTTGAGTTTTTTGTTTATGGTTTGACGTGTTCAGTAAGTTCGATCGGACAAGTCCGAATTCAAACGAATCTAATGTGTCCTCTGTAAGTACTGGCCTGCGGCTAAGCAGCTAAGCAACTTTTCTCCTAGCTCGACTCTTTTATTATTTTTGTTTCCTTCTTAGTACTATGCATAAAGCCCAAATAGCTACACACATTCGTAGCTCTAGCCTGAAAAAGCCTCATCTTGATGGCAATACTTGCGATCCTTTGGTTTTTTAGTTTCCTTAATTTTTTGACCTAAGCACACCGTTTTTTGTGGGAGAGCCCCATGGCGCTGAACACTTTTTGCACACGCTTTTGTATGTGGCTTGACACGAACGCAAAAATAAAAAACCAAAAAACACCCAAATGATGTCCAAATGAAACCAAAATAAAAACAAAACCCAAAAGGAGAACCCTCGTGGATATACGTGTAGAAGAAGCTTAACTTACCTGTCATACTCCATACCCATTCACAGATCACAAGGATCGCTTTCCGGATGGCGATCTGCCGCGCTGGAACTTCACCGACTTCATGCACAGCTTCATGATCGTGTTCCGGGTCCTCTGCGGCGAGTGGATCGAGTCCATGTGGGACTGCATGTACGTGGGCGATGTCTCGTGCATTCCCTTTTTCTTGGCCACCGTTGTCATCGGCAATCTTGTGGTGAGTAGACTACATCCAGGACACAAGGATGACGAACGATCAACGGATCAACGATAGAGGATAGCCCCCTTTCGTACGGAATAATCGAATTAATCGACTTTGTCGTTACAGGTACTTAACCTTTTCTTAGCCTTGCTTTTGTCCAATTTTGGCTCATCTAGCTTATCAGCGCCGACTGCCGATAACGATACGAATAAAATAGCCGAGGCCTTCAATCGAATTGGCCGATTCAAAAGTTGGGTTAAGCGTAATATTGCTGATTGTTTCAAGTTAATACGTAACAAATTGACAAATCAAATAAGTGATCAACCATCAGGTGAGAGGACCAACCAGATCAGTTGGATTTGGAGCGAAGGTTTTTATCCACTTGTTTTCCACAATTACTAAACTACTTTTAATTATATGATACTCGTAATACTCGTATATTGCCAAACGATATAATTGCGTATACCGTTTTAACGTTAACTTCAAACTCATCATTGGCCAGTAATTGAATTGCGTAATCGATCTAAAAGAAAACAAAACAAACCAAACAATATCAGTAACAGTATCGATATCTTAACAAAATACAAAAACTACAAAATCGAACCCGAACCCGAACCCAATTCGCATTCTGTATACAATTATTAAAACTAAAAAAAACCACAAAAAAAAACAAACCAATCCAAAACTACAAATTCGTTCTTAGTCGACCCGTTTGAGAATTCTGTTTAGTTAGTTTTTTCAAAGTTTCCCTCAAGTATTCCAACTTCCCTAGGCCTAGACCTCGCCCTCGACCTCAATCTCAGCCATAACAGCCATACCACCTGAACATGTACAGTATCTCTCTATAAATATATATGTTATATATCTAAAGCCGAAAAGTCTCATATTTGGTGCTCATGTCGATTGCTAGTTTTTATGCCATTTTGTTCGTATCGGTTCCCGTTCGATTTCAACCTGAAAGTGTTGTTGGTCTTCAACCGGTCACTGATCCTCAGATCCTACTTCGATCCTCCGAACCGCCGACCTTTGACCTCTGTGGCACCTAGAGGACTGCGCCGTGCCATTTCCGATCACATCATACCCAACAAACAACTAAAACAAATCGTAACCGTAACCGTCATAATCTTTAGCATTTACTTAGATAGTCTATATTTTTACCTGAACCGAAACAAGTAAAAAGTATCAGTAAAACCTTTATAAACAAAACAAAAGAAACAAAAAAATAATAATATATATTGTGTACTAATATACGTATTTTCCCTAGATATTTATAAAGTTTCTCAACATTTTTATAAACTAATTAGCTTGATCCTCGTCGATTCGATATTGCTAGCAATCGAAATATTATGTGACTTTGATTGAGTTCTTTGAATATCTAGCTTAAAGTTAGTTTAGCCTTTTTTAAGCCCCATTTATTTATTACAATTTTAGGTTTAATGGTTTTGGTTTTTGTTCCACCACCACCACCACCACAACCACAAGAACAACATGCCCACATCCTTGTACATTTGCATTTTCAATAATCCTCGCTAGCCTAGCCCGTTAGCGGAGATCGATTGGCCAAGTCGAAAATAAAAAAATATCGAATAAATATGTATTGATTCGAATTAAAATTCAAATAGAAATTCCCAACAATGGCAAATTGCAGACGTTCGAATTATAAATTATGTGGCTAGCTGTCATTACCGAAACGAAGCAAAAAAAAATATGCGAACAAAACAGTATTAGACTCCCATTGTAATATGAAATTATATGAATTGAAAGTAAAACAGTGGATTTGATCCTTCATAGTGTTATGAACTTTTCTTACTCTCGTTCTCCAACTTATCTTTTTGTTCGATTTACTGTCTGTGTATTAGTAATATGTATGGACTTTTGTGTTGAACCCTTAGTAACTCGAATCATCATTGTATCATCATTGAATCATCCCTCATCCTTAGTTTCATCTAGTTACGCTGGTCGGGATCCAGGTCTCACCAGGGATTCCAGCTGGTTACATTACCATCACCACCAGCTTATTGAATATTAATCGATCAGTTATATATACATATATACGTGCATTAATCAGCTCAGCTGGAAAAGTGGAAAAATTCTGATCAAGCAGAGTCCCTCCATTTTGCTGAAGCTGAAACACAGTGTTCAGTATCCTTCAGATGCTGTGACAAGTGGAATTGCCTTAGTTACAATTTTTCTCACTAGTTAATTGAGTTCATCGATCATTTTGCGATTTGTGTTGTTCGCTGTTGTGTTGTGAGCGTTCCGTCTACCTCCTTCTCCTTCTCAGTCACTAAACTCAACCCCACAAGGACACGAGACATGAATCATTGAACATGAACCACTGACACTGGCACGACCCACCAAACGAAATCGCGGAGACGCTGATTAAATGTGTTTTGTGTTACTGTTCTATGTCCTTAAAGATTTCATCCAAATACTGAGAATTAATCTTAATATATCTATATTCATTCTTTTCATTTATTACATTTGCAAAAAATAAAATCAAAACTAAATTAAAATTTTAAAAACCAATCGAACCCAAAATCAAATTGCATTGCATTGGCCAACGTACTGAACGACGCTTAAAACGAATCGTTATTGAAATCGAATCTCGACTCATCCCAAACTCAAATCTAATCGAATTCAACCAAACCGATCGACCAACAACCAACAACAACAACAACTCTAATGCGAACGGCAACTGCTTGTATGAATTATGAATTCGTTTCGCTTTATGATTTCCCCAACAACAATCGATAATCGATCAACAAATCGTCATTGCCCATTCGTAAAATTCAATACAATTAAAAAAAAAAATATATATATATATATATATATATATATATATAAACATATATATGCCATTCCTCTGTTACGTTACATATGTATATATCGAACCAATTATGTAAACACTATCTATAAACATTACGATCGAATGTGGGATACGAAAGGCAAAGGCGTTTGTCGTTGTATATCTGCAGAGCATGGTGACAATGAACTGGAGCTGGGCCACGACGAGATCCTCGCCGATGGCCTGATCAAGAAGGGCATCAAGGAGCAGACGCAGCTGGAGGTGGCCATCGGTGATGGCATGGAGTTCACGATACATGGCGACATGAAGAACAACAAGCCGAAGAAATCCAAATATCTTAATAACGCAACGGTAAATAGAATTGATATCCGAGTGGAATCTGGGCTGGATATAAGCGGGGAAGTACCGCAATCGAGCCTAGATTTCCATTATCAAACCGATACCGACACCGACAATACCCTTGTCCGTGTATCGTGTGTATTAATTTTGTGATTTGATACCGAGACCCAATATATAAAACATTTGTTCCCCAAAACCCGATCCCGATCCCCATATCCGTAATACTTATATATAACAAAACTAAGAACTACAAAACCGCTACTACAACCTGATCCTGATCCTTTCCCAAACTACCCTCGAAATAAATACTTTGTTATTATATAGAATACTTTCGTAACGACAAGAGATTGATTTACCTTTTATTTGTTCGTTTCTCTTTTCCGTTCATTAAATTGCCACTTTTTTCTTACCATATATTACATATAACTGTCTCTATATGTGTACTGTTATGTGTGTGTATTTCACCACCCAATCAATCAAACCAAAATACCGAAACAAAAATGATCAAAACTCAACCAACCAACCAACCAATCCAACCAACTGAACTCTGAACCCAACTGAAAAAAAACCAAACTGAATAAAAACTAATCAAAAAAAAACAACTAAAACACATGAACTGAAATCGCTAAATACAAAACCAAAACAAAAAATATAATATATATATATACCGATATATATAAAAATATATATATGTATAACTATAACTATAACTATACAGATGATTGGCAACTCAATTAACCACCAAGACAATAGACTGGAACACGAGCTAAACCATAGAGGTTTGTCCTTACAGGACGACGACACTGCCAGCATTAACTCATATGGTAGCCATAAGAATCGACCATTCAAGGACGAGAGCCACAAGGGTAGCGCCGAGACGATGGAGGGCGAGGAGAAGCGTGATGCCAGCAAGGAGGATTTAGGTCTCGACGAGGAACTGGACGAGGAGGGCGAATGCGAGGAGGGCCCGCTCGATGGCGATATCATCATACATGCACACGACGAGGATATACTCGATGAATATCCAGCTGATTGCTGCCCCGATTCGTACTATAAGAAATTTCCGATCTTAGCCGGTGACGAAGACTCGCCGTTCTGGCAAGGATGGGGCAATTTACGACTGAAAACTTTTCAATTAATTGAAAATAAATATTTTGAAACAGCTGTTATCACTATGATTTTAATGAGTAGCTTAGCTTTGGTAAGTCAACTACAAAATCAAATTAAAAATTCAATTCAATTCAATTCAATTCGATACAATTGAGAAAGCAAATCAAATCCAAGAAACCAAACAAAATTTACTCAAGAGAGATCCCAAACAGACTCTCGAGACTATTGTTTGCCATTTGTTCGTTATTTTGATTGTTGCAAATTTGTGTCATTTGCTTTTTTAACTCAGCTAAAAATGCAAATCCTAGCTTGCAACAATTCTTTAACTCTAAATTTTGTAAATTAAAAGAAAAACAGAAAAAAAACAATTGAAATTCGTAGTTAATCAAGTTAATCAATGCTTAAACTTTACCAAAGTTGATTGCTTCATTCAACACCCCCCCCACCCCCCAAAAAAAAAAAAAAAAGCAGACAACAAATTTTATAATTTCGAAACTCGAAACACTTACTCAGTTTAGCATAGTTTAGTGTAGACTTTATCCGGATTGGATTAGAGTTTTATTTTTCAATCAATGACTTTCAGTCGATGACCAGACCTGCCTCTAACGAGCGTTAGGACTTGTCAACGACCGGATATTCCCCCAAAATTACATTTTATTCCCCACTAGGAGAAGAGATTAAAAAACAATTAAATAAATATACGTTTTATTAGCTAAGTTAAGTTTGCGTGTTATGCCCAGGCACATTCCAGTCAAACGGCTTGTGTCTTTGCATAAGTTCACAAACTTCAATTAAAGTTAGCCTTAGATCGTTTACTTAGTTCGAATAGAATCGAATAATAGAATTAGATGTAGACGCTTTGTGCGTATCATTTCAAGAATTTTGTCTTCAATTTCTTTGAAAATTTTTCTTTAATTGCGTTTGACTTTGATTTGTCCGCCCAAGAAGAACAACAAGATCAGAAAAGTAAAAATATACAAATGCCAAAAAGTCGCCTGTTGTACAGAGTAATACAGAAAGAATTCTTTCACTGTCAATTTACATTCTAATATTCATTAATATTATATAGCTTCTTATACTGCTTCTAGATAATTGTTGTACTCGTACTCGTCTAATGTAACCTCATACTCTCCTCTTCACTCTATAACGCCATTGTACAATGTCCCTGTTTCTTCTATGAAAACGCGACTCAACGTTATCTGGTATCCTGCTGAACACCGATCCTCCTTTGACCATGGAACAGGCATTAGAAGATGTACATCTGCCACAAAGACCCATACTGCAGGATATTTTATACTATATGGACAGAATATTTACGGTTATATTCTTCTTGGAAATGTTAATCAAGTGGTTGGCGCTCGGCTTCAAAGTGTACTTCACCAATGCGTGGTGTTGGCTCGATTTCGTGATTGTCATGGTAAGTTCATCGGTTACCCAAGTAGAACGCTCCCCACTCCGCTTTCGGGCGTCTATCTCTATATCACTATCTTTTGTGTTTGCCGAACGAACTTGAACTTACAAACAAAAACCTAATCCGAAACAGAAACAATAAACGGAAGACCAAAAATTATAATATAACTTACTAAATCCAGACAGGACATAAAGACGTTTTAAGTTTCAGTTTTTGCCTTGTCCCCACTACCTCTGTATGCTGCCTTAGGTCAGTATAACAGTTCTCAAAGTCAGCTATCCAGGCTGTACTTAAAGCTCCCCGCTGTATGATAGACCACCAGTAATCTTTAGTCAGTAAACTCTATAATCCCGTAGCCCTGTAATCAGTAATATCATAGGATAAAACTACCCTAGCTTAGTTATTCACTATAGCTTAGAACGATAAGTTACCCTCCCCCCCATCTGTTAGTAGCTTCTTACCCAAGCCAAATCTTTGAGTTTCGTTTTGAGTTACCCAGCCTCTAAACCGCCTCTCTGAACTCTGACCTGAAACCGTCTAGCTGTCGCTAATTAATTTGGCCGCGGTCTGGTCTGGCGCGGACGATGTGCCCGCCTTCCGCTCGATGCGAACGCTGCGCGCCCTGCGACCTCTGCGGGCCGTTTCGCGCTGGGAGGGCATGAAAGTAAGTAGCGTTCATTCTCACATCCTTCAGACTCTATAATGTCTCCTTGCCACCTGTGTCTCTCTATCTCTCTATTTGTCTCTGTATCTCTGTGCCTCACTATCTCTTCTCTAACTAACTTCCTAAATGTTTCTCTCTCCGTAAACTTTCTCTCATTCGCATTAATTGTGTGTGCGTGAGTGTGTGTGTGTGTGTGTGTGTGTGTGTGTGTGTGTGAGCGTAAGAACATCAGTGTATCAAAGTGTGTGTGTGTGTAACCAACTATTATAATCCATTAAATGTCGTTGCCTCACCTGAAACTAAGTTTCCATCTGCAGCTAATAATATTTGCTTGTTGCTCTTTAATCTTCAAAACTATACAAATCTGTTATACAAAATCAAGATGTTATACCAATTTTTATACAGGATCTTTACAATATTAAAGTCCTGGACAAATCAACCCACAAAGACCTTTTCCTTCTTCCCATTTCCTTTATCCTTCTCCAATTTAACTATTTATATATATATATATATGTGTGTGTGTGTGTGTGTGTGTGTTTGTGTGTGTGTGTGTATGTGTGTGTGTGTGTGTGTATGTTATACGCTACTATCCGTCCAAGCCGAATCGCTCACACTGCGCCCAGGGCAGCGCCATGCTAACTGTTATACCGGCCAGTATTGTACATTCTCTTTGCTGCCTGTTAATGTTGATGTAATTACCCTCATATGTATATGTATATGTCCCCATCTACCTAACATATATATAATATATAAAACAGTATCAGTATTCGTATCAGTGTCCCTATCTACCTGAATAAAAAACAAAAACATTGAGCGTTGCAGTGTATACCAGACGCTTCATGGGCATTGTATTCCATTGCTGCTGTCGCGTGCTTCAGCTTCGTTGTACGCTATCTACATATACATATTCAAGTAATTTAGGATCATTGATTGAAACATAGGTTTAGTCATAGTCACATATCTATAAATAGTTGTAATATACATAATAGTCATACGTATTTTCAAACCTAGAGCTAAGAATATTTACAAGCAACACCGTCTGCGGTCAGCTAAATCAAATATTATACGAAGAAACGTATAGAAAACAAAACAAAAACTTTGTGTATAAGTAGTTTGGTTCAACAACTAGCCATAGCTTAGCCATAGCTAGAGATACCAACTCCAAGTACCCCTATACTATGCCAAGCGCCCACCCCTAGATCTGTTTATATAGATAGATAGTCCTAGACTCTATCCCCCCCCCCATTTCTCCAAAGCCACATTGAACACAACGAATATGAATATGAACCCGAACCGGAATCGATACCCCCTTAATCCTTGTCACTTGCCCTCAATTTTTTTTAGCGGCACCAAAATATCTAATATCTAGAGCCTCTCCTTGTATAGGTGTATGTACATACTATATATGTATATATCCATTACCGATGCAAGCGATCTTCGCAGGAGCCCCCAAAAACTGCACTGTATTGTACAAACAATAAACATATAAAGCAAATATCTTATATTACAAACAACAACTTCGCGACGCTGAGTCGTTAGTGTATAGAATCGATATATCGTTTACTCGTATATGTATATATACTGTATATTCTCAACCACAATCAGTACAATCAGACCAACCAGATCAAAATGTCGAATATTCGACAAATCGCTCATACGCAGTGGTGGCAGTGTTTTACTTAAAACAACCGACGCTCCAGTCGCGTCTCGTCTCGTCTCGTTTCACACCAACTGATGTCGCTTGGTCTGGGCTAAACTTTAACTTGAAATAATTTAGTGGGCTCTTCCGGCTCTCCTGCACTCCAAGGGATCCCAGTGACCCATGCAATGAAAACTCCACAATAGCCAACCAATCGAGTCCGGCAGCAAAGTTTGAGCAAAAATGTGTCAACATAGAGACAGATCAAGACAGAAAAAACCAAAAGCCGAAAGCCATTTTCAATGAGAACCTAGTGATGATGTCGCACGACTGCACTATGGACCCATGGAGGTTCATGCATACGCCCCTCCTTGAATCCTTTTCCCTCCTTTCGTCAAAATCAAAATCAAATTTTGTGTGTGTGTAAATATTAGAGAAGCTCTGCCGACTTCATTGATTCATTTCGTTGTTTCAATTGTCCAAATGTCTAAGGCGTATGCATGCCGAATTCGTCCATTGTGAAATCAGGTGCGGCTGGTGGTGCGAACTAACGTTGTAGGAAAAGAATCGTCTTAGACAGAGCTATCACTAGCCATCCCCGAGTCATCCCAGTCTGTGTTTTGTCCTATCGACAGGGTAATCTCAGTACTCCCCGTATCAGCTATAATAGAGCTATTCACACTTCTATCTTGTTCTCGTTTTTATATCTCCGAATCCCTGAGCAGTATTCGTATCCCTAGCCTTGGATTGAACTGAAACTACTTCACATATAATCACACCGATCCAGAAAACCTATTGAATCGAACCAAACCAAACCGACCCCCTTTAAGTGTTGCCTCCGTAATCTACATACATATACGTATCTGCATATGTGTTAACTTGTTTTCTGTGTATGTGTCTACGTCTATAAGTGTAACCACCTATGTATCTGCCAGAAGAACTACATATATATCTATCTATATATATACACTATACTCGTACAAACTATATAATGTATCAACTATCGTACAATAGGCTATCGTTTAAGAACCCCCTTCCGTCTAAGTCAGAACAGCGTAACACAGTGGTAACATTATAATGATATGCAAGTAAGTTCTACGAACCCATAGGGCCCCCTCCGACGCGACCTTCAATAAAGACCCCCTGATTGCCATGTCCCGCCCCTTACTTTTTCTCGAGCAACAAAAACGGCGCCAATGAAACTCCTTAAAGCTTTTTTCAGTTAGACAGACAGACAGAACTTAAACTCCAAACTTTAAACTTAAAACAAAAAATTAATCAAACACCGAAAAGAAAGAAACACTTTTGCTTTATTATACAAAAGAATGTCTATATTGCAATTTTATATGTTAAAACTTGGCACTATTCGAACTATATCGAAACTAGGTATCGCTTATCAACTTCGTTGCTTCACTTGTTGGAGCTGGTGGTATTCAAGCCTTCAAGACTATGCGAACGTTAAGAGCACTGAGACCACTACGTGCCATGTCCCGTATGCAGGGCATGAGGGTACGTACTTTCCATACATACTCGTAACCAAACCCAATACCAAAAAAACCAATACCAAATGAAAAATCAACTCAAATTCAAAAAAAACAATCAATACAAACAAATCAAAAAAACAAATCAACATATCATATCATATCAGTATCAGTATCAGTAATACAGTATCAGTATCAGTATCAGTATAATAAAAAAAATCAGTATCAGTATCAACAGTATCAGTAATCAGTACATTCAAATCAGTATCAGTATAATCAAATATCAGATATATCAGTATCAGTATCGTTCAGTATCAGTATCATAATCAGTATCAGTCATCAGTATCAGTATCAGAATCATATCAGTATCAGTATCAGTATCAGTATCAGTATCAGTATCAGTATCAGTATCAGTATATATCAGTATCATATCAGTATCAATCAGTATCAGTATCAGTATCAGTATCAGTATCAGTATCAGTATCAGTATCAGTATCAGTATATATCTCAGTTATTCAGTATCAGTATCAGTATCAGTTAGTATCAGTATCAGTATCAGTATCAGTTTTTTTTTTTTTTCGTTTATTTCAGTTCTATCAGTTTTTTTATTTCAGTTTTTTTATCAGTATCAGTATCAGTTTATCAGTTCATTGTATCAGTATCTTTTTTTTTTTATCGTTTTTTTTTTTTTTTTTTTTTTTATCAGTATCAGTATCAGTATCATTCTATCAGTTAGTATTATCAGTATCAGTATCAGTATCAGTATCAGTATCAGTATCCAGTATCAGTATCAGTATCCAGTATCAGTATCAGTATCCAGTATCAGTATCATATCAGTATCAGTATCAGTATCCAGTATCAGTATCAGTATCCAGTATCAGTATCAGTATCCAGTATCAGTATCAGTATCAGTATCAGTATCAGTATCAGTATCAGTATCAGTATCAGTATCAGTATCAGTATCAGTATCAGTATCAGTATCAGTATCAGTATCAGTATCTATCAGTATCAGTATCAGTATCAGTATCAGTATCAGTATTCAGTATCCAGTATCAGTATCAGTATCAGTATCCAGTATCAGTATCAGTATCAGTATCAGTATCAGTATCAGTATCAGTATCAGTATCAGTATCAGTATCAGTATCAGTATCAGTATCAGTATCAGTATCAGTATCAGTATCTATCAGTATCAGTATCAGTATCAGTATCAGTATCAGTATCAGTATCAGTATCAGTATCAGTATCAGTATCAGTATCAGTATCAGTATCAGTATCAAGTATCAGTATCAGTATCAGTATCAGTATCAGATATCAGTATCCAGTATCAGTATCAGTATCAGTATCAGTATCAGTATCCAGTATCAGTATCAGTATCAGTATCAGTATCAGTATCAGTATCAGTATCAGTATCAGTATCAGTCATCAGTATCAGTATCAGTATCAGTATCAGTATCAGTATCCAGTATCAGTATCAGTATCAGTATCAGTATCAGTATCAGTATCAGTATCAGTATCAGTATCAGTATCAGTATCAGTATCAGTATCAGTATCAGTATCAGTGTCAGTGTCAGTGTCAGTGTCAGTATCAGTATCAGTATCAGTATCAGTATCAGTATCAGTATCAGTATCAGTATCAGTATCAGTATCAGTATCAGTATCAGTATCAGTATCAGTATCGCAAATCGTAATAAATATATCAATCCTAAGCTAATAGCACGCAATATCATCTCGACATATACTGACATCTCTTAAATGCTGTCTAACACGTACTCGTGCTCGTATACATTGGACATTCATGAAACTAACAGCAACCGATATATATTAAAAAGTACCTAGTAAAATTTTTAACGTAGACTTAACGCTAACCATTTGGATGGTTTATCTGTTTTTTAATCCATGAACTATAAACCGTAAACCGTAATCCGTAATTGATTGACTGATTAGATGATACTTAAGAAACTTTACTCGAATCTCTCTATCTCTCTCATTGATCAGCCGAACACGAACACACTCCAAGTATTAGAGTAAATTTTAGCTATTGTTAATCGTTACTATTATATTTATCCGTAATTATTATTCATAATTAGACAAACGTTTTGCCTTGCCTTCTCTCCCACACATAGAATTTGCGCCTTGCTCGCTCGCTCTTTCTCTCTGTCTCTTTCTCTATTTCGCTCTCGCTCGCTCTTTATCTCTGTCTCTCTCTCTCTTTGTTTATCCTATTATCCACATATTTGGCTCTTAGAAAACCAAAAATTTAGTAAGCAACTAAGAAATTTGCTTAACCCGCTTTAATCTCGACCACGGTCTGTCGAATCCCTTTGCCTGCCTGTCCAGCACCGTAGAAGCCGATCGACCGGATATAGAGCTAGATAAAATATGTCATCAAATTATATACCTACACACCAGTTTTGACTCTACTCGTACTTAGTCCATCGCATTTAGATCGCAATCCAACAGGAGTCCATGTACTTAGTCCCTAGTTTAAGTTACATTTTAGCTAAATTTCCAAATATTACTTTAATTACTTCAAGTTGATCTTGTGCCTGCTTGCTCCTTGCCGATCTTTACCTATCTGCCTCTGTCTCTATTTTAATGATCTTTTATGATGCTATGCAATGCTTATTTAGCGTTATCCTTGTAGATGTAGTGTTGTAAAATGAACTGCGCCTTGGCTTGGCTCAACGCACGCTGCCTGCTGCTTGTGTTAGTAAACACCGTAGAAAAATTCCATTGCACAAACACACATTCCATAAATCGCTATCATATATATATATATATATATATATATATATATATATATATATATATATATATATATATCAATGCTAGATCAATGCTATTCATTCAGCACTCTCCATACAAGTACCATAAACACGCACAGTACTCACACTCACCACACATCTGTACATCACATTTATCTATAAGGCCAATACTAACCCGACTAAGTATTTACCAATATAAATATTTAAATATATATATATAATCCTAACTGAATAAATAACTCTCTGCATTTATTGTATTATATTCTATCCCCTCTCCACCGACACCCTCGCCTCGCCTTGCCTCGCCTCGTATCACCCATACACCCATGTATCCCAACAACTACTACAACTACCAACCAACAAACCAAAATCCATCGATAACTTAACTCCCAATCATCATCGACGTTGCCAACGACGACCCAATCGATCGGTTATCGGTCCCACCGATCAACCAATCTGATACCATCCAAAACTACAAAAAAAAACAAAACCAAATCAAATTCAGGTCGTCGTTAATGCGCTGGTACAAGCTATACCGTCCATCTTCAATGTGCTATTGGTGTGTCTAATATTTTGGCTAATTTTTGCCATAATGGGTGTACAGCTTTTTGCTGGAAAATATTTTAAGGTACGTGCCATATGATTCAAACCAAATCCTGAATAAAAAAAAAAAACAAAGAAACCAAACCAAAAACCATGAACAAAAAAATAAAAAAACAAACGAACATAATCGGATAGGCCCATGATCGGAGGTAAAACGAATACAAGCTAGATTACTTGTACTCTTTTCGCCTTCCAAGCAGCCTTTAGTAATTAGCAATAAAATTATTCAATTAATCGAACTAACTCGAAATCAAACTTGAAAGAAATGCGTATCTTTGCATCTATTTTTCGTAAATAGTTGAGTTTCAACACGATTCGAAACTAAAAGTTTAAAGCTTGTTCAAACGAAGACAAGCCCTCGCAGACTGTATATAGAACTAGAAATCATTCGGATGCAAGTCCAGAGCAAGAATCAAAATAAAATATCAAAATCGAATTATTTATCCAAATCACAATCAAAATCAGCTGCAGAGTCCGACTCAGCTTGGGCATGCTTATCAAGAATTATATGTATAACTATACGAGTATGCGAACTTGCAGTTGCTGCACTAAAATAAACAGTTTCTTAGAAACCACTCCCTAGTTCTAGCCTTAGTTTGCCTTTTGCACGGGAAGTCGATAATGAGCAGAACTATACAGCCTAATCGAACTCTATCTAATCCAATTTAGTCCAATCTAAGCCAAGCTTTTTCCAATATCGTATAGTCAAAAGAGGCCACAAGCCCTGCTAATTAGCTGCTTAACACACATAACACTTGACACTAAAAAACCCACACCCACAAGAGACACTGACACACCAACAAACTAGTTAGTCAACTAGCTATAGTGGCCTATATAATCTACCCATATATATATATCTATTACTATTCCTATATTCTATATGTAAAATCCTGCATAATTGAATTACATTTTTCCAACATCAACTCGATAAACAAAACCAAACCCATCGACGCCAACTGATGACAACCTACAACAACCTGCATCGATAACCAACGAACAACGAATTATCGAACCACAGTGCGAGGACATGAATGGCACGAAGCTCAGCCACGAGATCATACCGAATCGCAATGCCTGCGAGAGCGAGAACTACACGTGGGTGAATTCAGCAATGAATTTCGATCATGTAGGTAACGCGTATCTGTGCCTTTTCCAAGTGGCCACCTTCAAAGGCTGGATACAAATCATGAACGATGCTATCGATTCACGAGAGGTAATGTACAACCCTTGCAATCCACACCCATCACTTCAAGTCCAACTCCAACTCCACACTTGCATCAGACTGCATTTATGTTTGCCAATGCGCTTTGCCAACCAACCACAAAAATCAAACCCAGTAAATCAAGTTAAGATATGAATATTGAGACACGCCAACTATATACATAGAGCAGAATACCGCTGAAACAAAGCTATATTGCAAACGAATAGTTAGTTTATTCCCATACATACTGTAAATGTCTAGCCAATATGTCGATAATCTCAACCCTAAGTCCAGTCTATGATACTTTTATTAATCAAACAATTTTATCTATAACTTTTTTCTCTTTTTTATATATGATCAACAACAATTCTACAAAAACTACAACAACAACACTCGACACTAACATCAACAACTACAACAAACAACAATGAATATGGCCACAACACTCAAACCAATCTTTGGCTACACTCCACTCCACAACCCCACAACAACAACTACAACAACAACTACAACAACACGAGCAACACTAAAAATGATCCATTCACAAAAAATAAATAAAAAATAAAACAAAAACAAAAAACGAAATGAAATGAATCCTGAAACCGAAACCGATGATGCCATGCCACAAAATTTCTCCGCAAAAACGCAAAATTCAACATCGATTCCTGCTGCTTTCGATCGATATCGAATGGGACAAAAACAATCGATAACAGGTGGACAAGCAGCCAATTCGTGAAACGAACATCTACATGTATTTATATTTCGTATTCTTCATCATATTTGGATCATTTTTCACACTCAATCTGTTCATTGGTGTTATCATTGATAATTTTAATGAGCAAAAGAAAAAAGCAGGTGGATCATTAGAAATGTTCATGACAGAAGATCAGAAAAAGTACTATAATGCTATGAAAAAGATGGGCTCTAAAAAACCATTAAAAGCCATTCCAAGACCAAGGGTAAGACAACAAAATACAAAAAAAAAATATATACCATAAATAAAAAAATTATTAATTAAATACGAAAAACCGAAAGTATATAATACAGAAAAGCTATATAAATCGAAACAAGTATTAAAACATAATAAAATATAAAATGAAAAATAACCGAATAAATAAATTATTACAAAACAAAATTAAAACCCAAAATTTCCCAGAAGGGGCATCAGAAGGTTCTACACTCAGTTGTGCCGCTTTATCCAAGAATTATTTCCCCAAGTTTTTCAACTTGTTTTATCTCAATAGAATTCAGTTTGTTTGATGCCCCATTTAATAAACATCAAACTAATTCCTATATAACAAAATGATAAGGATAATATAGTAATATTATAGGACTGAACAAATATAAATGATAAAGAAAATAATAAGACTAAGAAGATTTTGATCGCGTAATCTGTGCCAATCGTACCCGTATTGTATATATAACATTTTGTATATATGATAAACTTTTTTCTATGTTAACTTGCATTGAATTAACACCGAACTGAGCTACTACTACCGGAAGAGACTGTTATACAAGACTACCTTAGTTATGATTTTACAATGAAACTTTTAATGCCATTCGAAATTGTTTTAGTTATGTGTTGGTACTCTTTTTTCATTAGTGACCGATCAGTTACTTATAATACTCTTATACTTTTATACTGAACAAAACCCTCGACTTATACCCTATTGCAATCTGTTGAGTATATATTTACATAGCATATCTACGTACGCGCGTATGTATGTATGTGAAAGGCCCTGTTCTCTAGCAATATTTTGTCAAGTTGATTGATGGATCTTTAAAACAAGAAAAACAACAACAACAACAGAGAAACAATGCGAAAAAAGAAAGAAGAAAAGAAAAGAACATGAAGAAAGCAAGAGAAGGCAGCGCACCAAAAAGTCGAGTCTCTGGAATGGCTGCCGTGGTGTGCATGCGCAATAGAGTGAGAGATAAAGCACGCCACTGTTGCCATTGAGCGACTCCTGCGAGTGCGAGTGCGACGACGATGTTTCGCAAAACATACCGTTTTCTTACTCTCCACTCTTTAATACTTAATTTCCACTAGCTGTATTTAAGTATTGTGTCCGTTTGGTTCGTCTGTACTTAAACATTTTTATGTCTGCCATAATTATCCGCTGGACGATCGATCAAATTTAAAATTCCAAAAGTAAAGCAAAACTACAATCTCTATATATGTATATATACCTATCGCAACACCTCCTACTTAGATATGGCAACCAATGCATGTTTCTTTACTAATACTACTCGTACTTACCTCTGGATGTGTACATAGCATACATCTTGGCACGTCTCTCTTTAATCTCTACCTTATTCTGGGCATGTTTAGTGATAGTCACAGAACGATATATGTATATACGAAATACGATAAGAAAATGCGAAATAAGGAACTTAAAAACCGAAACTAAATCGAAATCGAAAACGAAATTAGAAGCGAGAGGCAACGGCTAGCGTCTGGCATGCTAACGGAGGAACAGACAGACCGAGACTGACTGCACGTTTCTCGCTCTAACTCTGTAAATCTGTAAAGCTGTAACACTGTAAATGCATCTATCTCTGTCCCTTGGTATGCCGCCTCGTGTAGTGTACGTAAACAATAAACGATAACCGATGCAATTGAATGAATGTTACTTACTAGCACACCGATTCACTGTTTAACAATGTTACCCAACTACTGTTACGCATACTCTGTACGTCTGCAGGTGCGCGGCAAGATCGAAGCTCCACAGAAAGGTCATACCATGGAAAAAAGTTTGCAATTGGCACAGATCTACAAACGCAACATAATATACATATGTACTATATATAGACAAGACCCCAATCGAAAAAGAGAACAAGTAACCCGATATAACCGATATATAAATAAATACAAAAAATATATATATAAATAATGCAATCAACCATACTATATATTTATAAACAATACTTATAAGCAAATGCGACGTAATTAACCCAATGTACTCATACGAAACTCTTCTATTCCTTTCTCTCTCTTCTCTCCAATGTCTTTTGGCGGTGTCCAACGATTGATTATATTTTCCATATCCGTATCCGTTACATTACGTTACGTTTTTGTTACCCTTTATCGTTATGATATTGATTTACCTTGTACCTCTATTCCAGTGGCGACCACAAGCAATAGTCTTTGAAATAGTAACCGATAAGAAATTCGATATAATCATAATGTTATTCATTGGTCTGAACATGTTCACCATGACACTCGATCGTTACGATGCGTCGGACACGTACAACGCGGTCCTTGACTATCTCAATGCGATATTCGTAGTTATTTTCAGTTCCGAATGTCTATTAAAAATATTCGCTTTACGATATCACTATTTTATTGAGCCATGGAATTTATTTGATGTAGTAGTTGTCATTTTATCCATCTTAGGTAAGTAAACCGATAATCAATTTCCAAATTAAACCCCCACCACAAACCCCAAAAAACCTTTCAAGCCAATACCAAACTAGCCAAAAAAAAAAGTATGCAACCATCCACCCCAAAAAGCTCCAAAAGAAAAGTGTTATACATTGTATATTTTGAATTCAGTTCAATAATCCTCCACCCTCTTTCTCACTCTGTCTTCGATTCCGATTCCTCCATGCATTATGTGCTATGTGTGTGAATACTTTAATGTACAAACCTGTCTATCTCTGCAACAGTACGCTCCTCTTTCTCCTTAAACATGTGTACTTTCTACTAATTCTACTAATTAATTGTTAAATTGCTAATTTGCTGTCGTAAACGTAATGCGTAATTCCGTTGTTCGATGTTGATTCGTATTAAATACCAGTCCCCCAAAGATCCCAGCAAAATAAACAATCAATCCATACGTAATCCCCACCTCCCAAACGATTTGTTGTGTACAAAAAAAGTTTGTGTATCGCGAGTGCTCATATAGCGATTACGGTCACTGTACTGTTATACTTCTGTATTATACGATCAAAATCACTGTATGAGCAGCTCCATGTTGTTGTGCTTAACGTATTCCAAGTTATGTTTTTGTTTCCGCTTTTAATTCATTGCTACTTGCATAGTTAACTAAAAATGGTGTTACATGTTTATATATATGTACAAGATTTTATACCCAAACAAGGTAATATAATTAAAATTAACACAATGAAGGAGTCATTTCCCACCCTATAAACCATATATATTCTTGATCTGCAAGAATAGCCAAACCGATTTACCTATGTTCGAAAGAAGAAAAAAAATTTTAGTATTTTAAAAATGTTAAAATTAAATAAAAAACATAAAAATTGTAATGTTTTACATTTTAAATTGAGTATGCAGTTTTATAAACCTTATAAAAACTAACACAGAACAGCTTTCCGAATTGAAATGAAAAAATTTTTGGCTTTGTTATGATCGATTTTATGAGTGTATTTCATGATCAGGAAGTTAACTTCTTATTTTGTTATATGTATGTCTTATTAAAACCATAAGTTACTTCAATTTATCCTAAAAACAATAAATAAAATACCTTGCATTTAGATAACAGTGCAAATGTGCAATTGACCAATATTTATTATTGATAAATATTTTAATTGTTGCTGTTGTTATTGCCAAATTTGTATGTAAAATAAGTAAATCGATGTTGACCTTTTTATTTTACCCTAAGTTGAAAAGTAAACGTAAAACGTTGCAATATTGGTGTTAATTTCAACTGTAATTCCCAAGTAATTGTTGTCGTTCATTGCTGGCGTTAAAATTCGTAAATTTTGCCCATTAACCGTATATATATATATATATATTTATACCCTTGCAGGGTATTATAATTTCAGTCAGAAGTTTGCAACGCAATGAAGGAGGCACCTCCGACTATATAAAGTATATATATTCTTGATCAGGATCAACAGCCGAGTCGATCTAGCCATGTCCGTCTGTCCGTCTGTCCGTCTGTCCTTCTGTCCGTCTGTCCGTTTCTACGCAAACTAGTCTGTCACTTTTAAAGCTATCTGAATGAAACTTTGTAGCCTTCTATATACTCTCACTCGTATATATGTCGGAACGGGCCGGATCGGACAACTATATCATATAGCTGCCATAGGAATGATCGGAAAATTTTTACAACAAATTTTTTAACATTTTCAGTTTTCAATAGAATTGGATCAAATTATAGCCATTTTATCAAACTGTTCAATTTTGTGTAAAATTTTATGAAAATCGGACTACTATATCATATAGCTCCCATTGGAACAATCGAGAAATTAATACAATTAAAAATTATAACTTTTTAGTTTTCAACAGATTTTCATCAAATTTGAGGTATAGCCATTTTATATTATTCTTAAATTTTGTGTCAAATTTCATGAAAATCGGACGACTATATCATATACATATGTAGGTGCCATACACACGATCGTTTGATGTAGAAGAAAAATACAAATCTTTGAATGTAAAGCTGCAAATATAATATGTATAGGTGAATGAAATGAAAGCAGATATTACTTCATTGTTTTTTAACACAAATATACATATATAGTTTATATGGTATGGATTCCTAGTCATAGAATTTCTATCTGCAAGGGTATATAAACTTCGGCGTGCCGAAGTTAGCTTCCTTTCTTGTTTTCGTTGATATTAAATATATATAAATTGACAGATTTCCATGGAAGTTTGTTTAAGCTTTTAATGGACCAAAATCTTTGGCCCGATATTTTTAATACATTTTCTTTTGCAATATTATTATTTGTTTTTTTGTTCTGAAACTACAAATAAGATTAACAAAAAAAAGAAAAGAAAGAAAGAAAATATTGCGTATACGTAAGCACACAAAAGAACGAACAAATGGAAATAAATTGAACCGAGAAATCCCCCATTGACAAAAACCAAAAACTCGATTTTGAAAACTCTGAAACTCAGGTGGAAATTGGCTATTGGAGCAAACAAAAACCAGATAATACCAAGAAACAAGCAACACTAACTGAAAAACTATACAAAAGATGGCTTAAAATATGCTTTACTACATTGACCAATGCAACAGAGAGCTTCCTTTTTAACCGTCATCTACCATCCAAGTGCCGTTAAAAAGGATGCTTCCAACCATTTCTGCTGCTGTTGAAAGTGTGAACCCCAATTCGAATTGCGCCCAAAAAAATATTTTGTCTAGCGAAAGACCCCCCGAAACCTGAAAACATCTTAACCCCAAACCCCAACCCAAAGCTCCAAGACCAGAACCGAACCAAAACCAAAAACCAAGCTAAACCTCTCTCCAAAAACCAAAAAACAAAAAAAAACGGAACCCTAAACAAACCGATCGTATTGCGTTTCCTTACCTGTAAAAGTTTTTCGTTTCACTTTTAGAATACTTCCATAATACTATTATTAATAATAATAATAATGTTTGTGCGAGAGAAGCTTCAAGTAAACCTTAACTATTTAAGAGCTGCGAACCTTAACTGTTGCTTATGCTTCTTTTATGTCCTTTATGTTAATAACTACTACATTCTCGCCAGGACTCACGCGCCCAACTTGTTCTCAAAGCGCACTTTTCCAAAAATCTTAACTAGAAATAATACCTTAAATACAAAAAAAAACCGAAATGCTTTCCAATTTATTTCGAGCGCCTCTAAGTATCGCTTCCTTATAAGTATTTGGCTTCGATGTTGCGGCAGTCGCCAGAGTGATATCCTTATAGACGAATATATTAATACACGCTTCAAGGCAAACGAAAACAAATCACAGAAACCCAAAACAAGGCTGAAGGGGAAACCCAAAAAAAAAAAGAAAACCCAAATAAACCAAAGTACGAACCGAACGAGACTCTCAGCTTTTGTAAATGCAAATTTCTTAAATAACAAAATAACATGAATAACAAATGAAAGAAATCTATAAAGAAAAGCAATTGCTAATACACTCACACACCACACACACCCAGTCTTACACACTCTTACACACGTTAAATGGCTTGCACAAAAAAAAAAACAAAAAAAAAAAAACGCATAAATTAAATAAAAGCAAAGCAAAAAATCAAAGTAATTCAATCACACAAGATTCATTCAGGGTTAGGTGTCAATGGGCATTCCACAAGACTCTGTGCGATTGTCGGTTGCATAACTCTGTTGCTACTGCCCGGTATTGTGCCAACTGGGGATCCCGACGAACTTCCTCCCCCCTAGTCGGGATCCATCAGCTAATTCTAATTGATATCACAGCGAGATCCACATCGCTCTGAGGGCGGAGCCCCAGCCAGGACAACGGCCATGCGGACCGTCTTAGCGCGCGGCACTGGCAAGACCGTTGAACTGGATCGGACCAATGGACCCAACGGCAATCCAGTGATCCAAAGATCCTAGAATCCTGTCCTTGATATAGAATATATAGAGTCCCCCCGATGCCGATGGGTCTCGCCCGTACCAAAAAAAACTGGCCACTCGAGATTCAAATTGTGAACTTGGACACATATTTTCCAAGGAATTGATGATATACCGAGGCATTAGCCTGAATCTTCTTAATGGTTTTGGTCCAATCTACGATGGAGATTATGTACTTTACTATGAACGTAGTAAAAAGCATACAACTGTGTATAATCTATAGATCTATATAAAAAAAATATATATATAGTTCCCCAGAGTACCTCCAAATGGTTCCCAAGCCATTCCCAATAGTGCGGGACTTGAACCCATACCATTCCCCACGATATCCCTACCCGATTTACCCTTCCATAACTCTTTCTGCCTAATCTTTCTAGTATAAGAAGCTTTTCCAACTACTTTAACTTATTTCTTGAGTTGAATTTTCTACTTGTTAGGCCTTTATCAGATATCAGAGAGTTTAGATCAGATATCGCCCCCTCGAAAGAAGTCCTGCAAATAGTTCGTTCGACGCAAAACCCAAACAAACCCTTTAGAATTCCGCTCATGCCCATTGCTAGAGCGCATTTCGTTGCCATCAGCCAACAAAAACAAAAAGAACAAAAATCTAAAATAATCGAAAAACAGATTAAACCAATGAACATTTTGATTCTATAGCGGGCAGCGAACGAACTTTGCAGTGTATAGTTATTTGGCACATATAAAATATGCTGCGGATTATCGCTAAAAGAAAACGTAACCCAAAATATGCATTACAAAAAAAACAAAAACAAAAAATATGAAATTCTTTAAACTAAAAATATATCGATATAATGGAAACCCGGAAGTCGAGGCTCCGAGTTGTTGATTTGACGCTACATTTCGCTGTCGCTGTTGCTGCTTAAACCAACGCCAAGATCGCCTGCTCCTGCTCCTGCGCCAGCTGCTCGCAATAAAAAAACAGCCAAAGGATATCGACTACCGAGCGTTGCTGCTTTCTACTCTTACTCTGTTAACCGCCAGTTAACCGTTCAGCGTTTACCATTAACCTTTAACTTTCAATCTTAATGTTTTAAGTTATTTGTTTTAATTTGTTTTTCCATTCTCTCTCTAAATGTGTCTTTTTTGATTTTTGCGCAGCCTTGACAACTCCTTGATTTTATCTAAGCCAGCTGTAAAATTGTTTAAACTATGTGTTACCTGTACTTGTAAACCCTAAAACCCTTGTATCCTGTAACCCGTAACCCGTAACCCGTAATTGTACTTTGTATTGGTTGTATGTATGTACTATGATCAGTCTGATCTCTTCATGTTTAATATTATTTGTTTTGTTTTCTTTTGCCTGTTTATGTTTATGTTTTTGTTTCGGTCGTACCCTGTATGTTGTCCCAAATGTACATATTATCACACATAACTTTTGCTTTCCTTTACGTATATCCTGTGTGTGCGTGTCTGGGTATGTTTCTCTAACGTTGAAGAAGATGGAGGAGCGGAGCGTGTCGACACCCTAATGCTTTCCATATTTCAGCTATGTCGAGAGTTTATGGTCGTATTTAACCTAGCCTTAACCTTAACCTAACCTATCTTACCCCAACCTCCTGAGTCCTTCGACTGAATCCTGATCCGTGCGAATCTGTGTGAACTGCGAAAACTCAATCCAAATTGATTTCTCCCCTCAAACTCATCTGCTGCTAAAGGTCTCGTACTGAGCGATATTATCGAGAAATACTTCGTGTCGCCGACCCTGCTCCGTGTGGTGAGAGTGGCAAAAGTGGGCCGTGTCCTGCGACTGGTGAAGGGTGCCAAGGGCATAAGGACACTGCTATTCGCACTGGCCATGTCGCTACCGGCCTTGTTCAACATCTGCCTGCTGCTATTCCTGGTCATGTTCATCTTCGCCATCTTCGGGATGTCCTTCTTCATGCACGTGAAGGAGAAGAGCGGCATCAACGATGTCTACAACTTCAAGACGTTCGGCCAGAGCATGATCCTGCTCTTTCAGGTAAGAGGCCCAGCCACAATTCCGTTGACGGTTTATGTTGTCTATTGTTGTTGTCGTTGGGTGATGTTGCCACGATCACCACCGAGTGCTGAAATCAAGCTGCAAATCGAAATCGAAATTACAAATCGAATTCTAAATCGAACCCTACCGTAACGATAACGATGAGCACAGCGAATGAGGGGGCCACAGCTGACCATCAATCGGCGACGCTCTATCGCTGGAGTTTGAGCGTCGATCGATGGCCGGAAACGGAAGTGGCGCCATTTGTTTCAGTTCAGTGGCAACATCACAATGTTGATTGAAGCTGCGGTAGTTGTTGGTAAAAGCTAAATTAGTGCGATTTTTTGATTAACTTCAATTTAATTTTAATTTCTCTACCTGTCTGTCCATAGGTTTTTTTTTTTGTTTTTGATTTTCGATAAGTAAAACCCCTCTTATGTTGTCTGTACAAAGAACCGCCTTAAAAATCGAATACTATTTATTTTCGCTCAAACTTACCTAGTGTATTATTATTGCAAAACCAGCTTTCCATTGTATTTATTTAGCGCTTATTTCTTTCATCATTTTTCAGTCTTTAGTTGTTTCTTTCATACCAATTTTGAGTAATTGTTGCTCTGTATATGCCTAATTTTTAGTCATTTGTACAAAAAACAAATCTAATTCAGCTCTTTCAACAAACACCAAATGAAATGTTGAGATTTCCTCAAGACACCCCTCCTCTACCCCGAAAACAACTAAATCCCCCCAATTCACCCACCAAAGTCTAAAAGAAAAAAAGCAAAAAAATGAAAGGCAAACCGAATAGATTCGATCGAAAGATCCCAGGGAACACAAACCTAATCCCACTCTCTCTCTATATATCTTAATCTAAATATGTATAAACCCAAATCTTTTCAAAAATATCTTAATCTATTGCAACTACTATCCAACCTTTCTATATAGTTTTCCCCTATTTTGAGTCCTTTAACTCTGCGAGCTTTACAAGAGAACAAATTGCAAAATGCTTGCTACGCTTGCCGCTTTGAGTCCTTTCTAGTTATATATATTTTTTGTGGGACCAGCGTCCTTATTATCCTCCTTGGAAAGTTCCCATTTCGACGGGGCCAAGGCGGTAGTTTTTTAATGGCTTTCCTCCCTCTCTCTTTTTAACCAAAAAGCTTGATTGGATCCGAATCAAAGCAAAGCAATTAAATCCAACTATTAGCTGTAATGCGTGAGCCAGCAGTATACCGACTACAACACACTCAAATGTATAATTACTAACTATAGCCGTAACTGTACTAACCACCTACCGTATGCCATAACTAAATAGTTTGCTTAGACCAGCGATCCCGGTGAAGAACGTTTAACTAATGATGATTCTTCTTTGTTATTGTATCTTCTGTCTTAAACTTCTCTCTCTCTCTCTCTCCCAAAACCGCCCACACACAAACACACTTAAAAAAAATTAATAACTGTACCAATACCAAAACCAATACCAACAATTTCCCAAATACCACCACGAACGAACGACCTGACACGCATTAATAACTATTGATGCATTGAACCATGCCCAACCGATCGCACAACTGCCAATCCAACCCTCAAAACAATTCGTTATCGATTTGTTGCATATGTAAACTTGATCAAATCGAATTGGAAATCCGGGATAAACCCCTTTTAAATATCCTTAAATTCCTTTTCCTAAAAAACTCCCCAAATAATCCCTCCAAATTACTAATGGCAGATGTCGACGTCAGCCGGTTGGGATGGTGTACTGGACGCCATAATCAATGAGGAAGCATGCGATCCACCCGACAACGACAAAGGCTATCCGGGCAATTGTGGTTCAGCGACCGTTGGAATAACGTTTCTCCTCTCATACCTAGTTATAAGCTTTTTGATAGTTATTAATATGTACATTGCTGTCATTCTCGAGAACTATAGTCAGGCCACCGAGGATGTGCAGGAGGGTCTAACCGACGACGACTACGATATGTACTATGAGATCTGGCAGCAGTTCGATCCGGAGGGCACACAGTATATACGCTATGACCAGCTCTCCGAATTCTTGGACGTGCTGGAGCCCCCGCTGCAGATCCATAAGCCCAACAAGTACAAGATCATATCGATGGATATACCCATCTGTCGTGGAGACCTCATGTATTGCGTTGATATCCTCGACGCCCTCACCAAAGACTTCTTCGCGCGCAAGGGCAATCCGATCGAGGAGACGGGCGAAATTGGTGAGATCGCTGCCCGTCCGGACACCGAGGGCTACGAGCCGGTGTCCTCAACCTTGTGGCGTCAGCGAGAGGAGTACTGTGCCCGCCTTATCCAGCATGCCTGGCGCAAGCATAAGGCGCGAGCCGAGGGCGGTGGTGGTGGTGGCTCCTCCGATCAGGAAGGCGGCGGCGGCAATGATCAGGGGGATGCCGCCGAGCATACGGGTGCAGTTGATCCCGATGCCGAAATGCCCGAAACGGAGGGTAATATGGGCACGGATGGAGCAGAAGATGGTGCCGCTGGAGATGGTGCCGCCGATGCCGATGGAGAGAGCCATGTAAATAGTCCAGCTGATGCGGCAGCGGCGGCGGCGGCGGCTGCTGGAACGGCCGGTAGTCCCGGTGCGGGCAATGCCGGACGACAGACCGCCGTTCTCGTAGAGAGCGACGGGTTCGTGACCAAGAACGGCCACAAGGTGGTCATCCACTCCCGATCGCCGAGCATTACGTCGCGCACGGCGGATGTCTGAGCCAGGCCTCGCCCCCCCCTCCAAGATGCACGCGAGTATTAGCATGAGTACGTGTTGGACGTTGCCAGGAGCTGCACGTGGCATGTGGCATGCATGCCGCGGCGTGTGGCAACAGTGAGCTAACAACAACAACAAGGAGAACAACAAGCATAATTTTCTGCTATATATAATGAAAGTACAACATATTCCACATTCCCAACCACAACATACCAAACATAACCAGCATCCAGCATCCAGCATCCAGCATCATCGTCAGCAAAAGGAGGAGAAACCCAGGAATCAATCGACTTATCCACACATACCCCAATATCAATATGTTTTATACCTGTAACCGCATTGTTCAGTTTCTTACGATTACAAGTCAGCAACCAACAACAATCATATTTAAGCTAATCCGAAATGTCTAAATAATTTGTAAGCAGCTCGTAGTTCAATCGATTTAGGCGTTTTCCCAACAATAAACAACAAAACTATTGGCCTAAGCAGGTAGAAGAGGAAGAACAGCACACACCACACTCAAGCACACACACATAGACACCTTTAAAACATTCAAACACACCGCATAAAACATAAAAACATAAGACATACGGAATATAACATATAGAAACCCAAAAGAAACGTAACGAGAAACCAAATAATAACAAATTTAAAACGAAAATTCTGCAAATTGTATTTGCCAACAATGACACGCTTGATTTCATTAATTAATTACCAAGCAAAAACTTACTTACCGAATAATAATGAAAAACATTAAACAAGAAATATGAAAAGGTAACGCGAGGTGAGAGTCAAGGCAGAAGAAAAGCAAATCTCATGACATCTTCCAAAAGCAAATGCAACATTTTAACAGTTAAAGAAACCAAAAACCCAATGAAATCCGATTCAATAATTATAAACAAGATGAGATAACACCAATTTGCATAGTTTATATTGAAAATTTCATCAAAATAACTAAATAAGACCCAAATTAAAGAAACACACCAAACCTAAAAAAAGTGTGTAAATCAAAATCGGGAATCCAGAACAACTCTAGTAACTTGAACTAAAAACATAGTAATAATACCAAAACAACCGAGAGACCATAACAACAACAAAAACAACAACAACCGCCTGAACTGCCATTGAAAGCAATACGAAACCTGAAACAACAAAAAAAAAAAGAGGAAAAAACCAAATCTAAATGTCAAAGGTAGATTCACACATCCAACAACAAACACATACCGTATAACACCCACTACATATGCACACATATTTCACAATCACAACACACACCTATACTCAGAGGAGGCAAATGGGAAAAAGGTTACCAGGACAACATCAACAAAAAAAAAACCCAAAAGAAAACAGATAGTAATTTCAGAAGTAATCATGATCGGGTGTTCGTTTCCTTTGCAGTTTCGACCTAAGCGATGATCCCCGATTCAGTCCAGCAAGAAAGTTCAAAGCAAACATTTCACCAACACACACATACACACACACACACACAAAGCAGAGGTGTTTTAAGGTTGTGTCCTCTCTTTGAAAACACACACACACACCCGACACACCGACAGCCGACAAACAAGCAAACAAATACTTGGAGTTGGGGCGCATGGAGCCAAAGGAAGTGGAAGTGGGACGATGAAGAAGATGTAGGACGAGGTGATAAGCGAGTAATAGATAGGATCCTTGAAGGACAAATACCTTAACAATTTAAATTCGTTGAATTCGAGCAATCAACAACAAGAAAAACAATTAACCAAGCGAGCGATAATGCGGAAAAGTGTTTTAAAGATAACAACAACAAAATTAAGAAAGAAAGAAAAGCTTAAAACAATAACAAGAATGTGAAGTGAAAGCAGAGTTTGATGTGAAAACGAAGCAGCAGAACCAGTACCAAAAGCAAAAAAACAAAACACACAAGTTCAAAGCGAAGCAAAGCAAGTGCTAAAAAAAGACGAAACAAAAATAATGATAATTAAGAAAGAGTTAAATACAAAATAGTCGTTGATGATGAAGCGTGTGTGTGCGTAGCACCAGACGGTGATAAAACTAAAGCAAATAAGAGAGTATCGAAAACGAGTGAACAATTTGAACTAGTTTGGTTTTCAAAGTACTCTATTTTCTCATACTTCTTATCCTTTTTAACTTAACCTACGAGTAGAAAAGTGCGAAGGTCGCGATTAATGCTAAATTACACAATGATCAAGATCAAGGAAAGTAAATACGAATCGAATATATATTACACGTAATTTATAACATAAATAATTTAACTAAAATACGATATATTAATATTGAATTGAATTCAAGCAAAGTTTTAGCCCGATCGCTTAAAAGCGTAGCATACTTTCCAGCGCCAGAACCAGCCGCCATCGCTTTCCGTTACGTATCCGCCGTGTAGGCACTTAGCGTTCGACTAAACGATAGCCAAGCGATAAGCCTACCAACAAAACAAAACAAAAAAACGAATATTCCATTCAGTTGCGCCAATTTACGCCAAGAGCTAAGCTTTGTTTGAATCAGCTTTAACGCTTTTCTGATTTCTTTGGTTTCTCTGTCGTTTCATTTAACTATAGCAATTGCCTTTTCGCCGCTGTTTAGTTATGTATTGACAAGCAAACGATTAACGATTACCAATTTACAATAACGATAACGATATGTAAGCCTTCATCGAATTGGCCCCGCTTAATTGACTGGTGGGGAGCATTCCGATCCGAGTGCCGCAGCAAACGAAAGTTTATGTGAGGTTCCATAGCGCACACACCATACACATGCACATGGACATCAATCCACACACACACACATACACACCCACACCCCACACACACACGCACATATATATATATACATGAATATATAGAAAAACACACACACACGTAAATGCTTTGCTATTCTTCGAAATTGCTAAAATCGTTAGAGGTGAATGAATAAACGACAACTTTGGGATAAAACGCTTTTTGGTTTTTTACAATAACTAATCACTTCACTGACACTATCACTCACGACACACTCATACATACACAGAGACAGTCATGGACATTGAAAGGACCATCTTTCAGTGGCGATCCTCTTCTCGCCGACTTGCTCTCAATCTCAAGCGAACTCCAACCTAATAAGAAACGAAAAATATATACGAATCATGCTTTTACACACTGCCTGACCTCTAAATATCTGTTAAATCATTTAAAAATACGGAACTTGTCCTAAGCACATCCAAAAAACAAATCAACCCACCAAAAACGCATCATACTAAACATCCAAATAGGGAAATACCAATTTAACCAACCATTGGCGAAAAGTACAAACTTGTATTGTTTTCTACCATTTCCCTTTACTACGGATTACTGTTGTAAAACAGTCGAATAAAATTTGTTACTATGGCAATCATAACCATATTCAGACATTCCTAAAGGTCATTCACTAGGCCAGACAATGAAAATTAATTCAAACAATTAAAAACCAATCAATTCATTCTGAATACCCAAAACCGTAGTCCTTAGACCGTTCTGTATTTCCGATTTCACCGTATCAGGCGTTCCAGCGCAACCTAACTTATTCACTTCCAATCCTCACAGAAAGACACAAATCGAGTAACGCAAAACAACAAAAATTGTAATGTAATTACATTGTGTACATTATTGGGGACCAGTTTAAGCGTTGCCTTAGAGTCCAGAAAACTAAAATGTTTATTTGTTGCGCACGCTTAGACAAAGAGCTTTTTCGATGATCATACACCCAAGCAATCACCACCTGATGACCCTCTCCCCCCACAGATCCTTCACCCCCTTACCCGCTCTTTTTAACCCAAGACACGCAAAGCAAACGCAACGCAACGCGAACCCGACTCGAACAGATTCCGCTTTGGTTACGCCTTAACCTCAACATTTACCGTTGCGGCTCTTTGTTTTCTTCATCATCCTGTAGCTGTAGCTCCATTTCCGTTTCCGTATCCGTATTTCGTTCTCCCCGATTCCCCCCACTTCACATTTATTTGACGCTTGCCAATTGCCAATTTTTGTAACGACTTGAATGTAGCTTCATTATTATACATTTTGTTGGCTGTTTGACAGATAATACGAGTACCCACTTCGATAACTAATAGATCACATGGAAAATAACGCAAACACGATAAGCCGGTTGGTCGATTAGCCTCGATCGATCGTGTCGATAATAATAAAACAAACATGCTATAAACTAATAACAGAAAATTAAGTTTGAGAATTCCGTACAAAATGCATAAGTTAAACGAAAAAGCATATAATATGAGAGAAAGCTAAATAATATATCTACTTATACTGAGTGCACTGTTATAAACGAGGGGCGGGGCGAGATTAAATAAAAAAAAAAAAAAACAAAATCGAATCAAACGACTAACTTTATTATAAATGGTATATCCTTCAAGATATTGTACTATCTATATGTGTGAACAACATCATCTGAAACAACAACAGTCACACATGAGGCTTATGCAACCAGAGAGCAAAATAAAGAAAGAAAAAACAAAGAAACAAAAGTAAAAACTACTAAAAACACTAAAAAACTAATTAATAAAATGGCGGCGAACCGAAAGAGATACTCTTAATTATAATAAACGTGTAAATTTCGAATAATAATTAAACGCCGATTATAGGGATATGAATTTTAGCGAAACCGAAAACGCAAATCGAAATCGAAAAGTTGAATAGTAGTTGAGAGGACAGACGGACAGAGGAAGATGGGTTAGAAAGGATGTCGTCAAAATATGGATAATGATGATATAAATAAGGAAATACAACAAATCTATTTCATATTTTTAGCATACGTGTAAAACATATTTTTTGTGCCGAGGTTACGTTCGAAGCAACACGCGCATCATTGCCATTAGACAGAATAAAATTAATTATATATACAATATGCCTAAAAAAACGATACGGGAAACCAGAAATCGAGAACCGAAACCCGAAACCTACAACTAATTAATATATAATAAAATAAAAAACAACAACTGCATATTTTGTGCTGCTGAAGAAAGTCACAACGCAACAAAAAACATGATAACAATAACAAAACATATATAAATTTCTAACAATTTTAGAGCAATACAAACACATACTCACACACAATCACGCCATACACACACACACACACACACACACACACACACACACCCCACTCACGACAGGAGAGTGGGCATCCATGACGAATATTTGAGCCGCCACTGTGGCACACACACCAACGAGAGCGAGATAGAATGAAAGTGTGCTCTCGCACAGCACAGTGGCGGCTCAAACCGTTTGCCACCCGGCCGATATACCAAGAACAACAACAAATACAACAAGGATATAACTTTTTTTAAATACACTTCAAACAAAAAAATCAAAGCGTGGAAGTTTCTATATTAGTTAATAATAAAATTTGTTTTTTTGTTAACACACTATATGGGAAAAAGAGGAAAACGAAAAAAGGAAAATGGATAGAAAACCAAACAAAAGATGGACAAAAACTTTAGCTTTATACTCGTACATTTGTAATATATTACATAAGTCTAGTTAATTACATTAAAAAGAAAAAAAAACACAAAGGAAAATAGAAAATATATATTATAAATTAAAATTATACAAAAAAGGCAAAACCAAAAAATTTTACAAATAAAAAATCGAAAAAACACAAAAAAAACACAAAAACCAACCAAAAACCAAATCAAACGAAGCATAGCAAATGAAATTCGAAGTAAATTAAATTAAAAAAATAGCGAACAAAGAAAATCTAAAAAATTAAAAAAAAAACAAACAAAAACGAACTGTAAAAAAACGAAAAACCAAAAAACATTTAAATGTAAAACAGCCAGTTATTATGCATAGCTAATAAAATTCAAATACCGAAAAGAAGCAGGAGGCAAAACCAAGAAGTAAGAACAATTATTGCAATTAGATATTCTACATAAAAAATTCTAAATCTTTAGTAAGGCATATAGGGTGCATATAGAAACATAACACACACACACCACATAAGCATATTCCCTGTCTACGTATACGTTTATTCCTAGTTAATCCTAAATCAATGGTTAGCTATCCTTAGTTCCAGTCTTATCGGTTGCAGTACCCATCCCACCCTCACCTCAAGTACAGACAGGAGCTAGAATAGGAACAGAAAGCTGAAAGCAGAAGCCAGCAAGGACCCACAGCAGACTTTAAGGATACCCAGCCAAGCCTATAAT